AAAATATGTGCACTTTCAGGTATTTATTTAAACAAACATTTTGTTTCAAAATATTTTTCCTTTTTGTGTCAAACCTGAAATGGTATTTTATTTTACGGTAAACATGGGTGTAATCAGTGGCATATATTTTATGTTTATGGACGCATTATAAAATATCTTATGAAGTTATGACTTATGAGGGATACATTATAATAGTCGAAAAGAGTGCTTCAAGCAAGCACGACTGGCCATCGGCTATTAAAATATCAAACACCCATTGGTTTATGGCTATAACGGTAAGAAAATAAATAAGAGAAGAAAAGGTGGAAAAAAAACGTTGATTTGATCACGATGAGCGACTCATAAATATATTTACGGAATAACTACATATTTTGGATACGATAATATACCTACAAACCTGAAGGCACGCGGTGTATGTTATCAACTCGTATTTCGACATGGCGGTCCTTATGAAGTTATAAAAACCGTGTTTGTGTGAAGATTGCATTTGTAAGAATGATATATGGCGTGGTGAGAGATTCGAATTGAATTTTGATTGTATTAGCTGAACATGGTCTGAGAACTGCAACATGGGTACTTACCTAATAATAATTCAACCACTGTGGGAATTTAGGTTGGTAATACCATATTAAAAAAAATGTTTAAATCAGTCATTATATCAAGGAACGCATTAAATGTTGAAAATATATGCACTTATATATTTTTTACTCTTTGAATTTAAACAAAGGATGTGTTGATGCATCCAGTAATTTACGTGTAAAATCTCAGTACCTAGAAACAAAAATAATATTTGAAAAAAACATTTATCACACTTATAGCAGCGTAATAGATCACAAATTATAATTATTTTAACAACCACACTCAATTACATACCGAAATCTTTAATAGACAAATAATTAATCAATATTCATGCATATATGGTATAGGTAGGACGTATAGGACCTACATAATATCATTAAAGTCATGGCTATAACAGGTATTATTTTATCCAACGAAAAAATTTCTAAATTATTATGTATTGTACATCTATATACATTATGTATAAGTCATATACTCATATTATACCTGCATATACCTATATCACCTGCATGTGTAGATATCGAATATAAAACAATGAAATAAAACAAAGAACACACAATATGTGCAGTAAATAATATTATAATATATCTATAAATAAAGGTACAAATACCGTCTAAAAAATTCCATCATTTTTAGAGAATGCTTGACTAAATCATGGAAAATCGCATATCCTACATATAGAGATGACCTCGTCAAATTAAAAAAAAAACGAGCCAACGGTATTGAACTACGTGCCCAGGTCTCCTCGGTTCTGCCCGTGTTGCAATTACCGACAATCGAGAAAACCTAATTAAATCAACAGCGAACTTATTTCCAGTTCTCTTCCACTCGCCGATTTGACCCATTTTTCTTTCATCTGCCCACTAGACAACAATTGCTCGGCGCTTTGAGCAGGGTGCAGGACGTCTGTGTATAATGTCACGGAGCATTGTCTACGTGAACTCGATTTTTCAATTGACAATTTTCGTTGAATTTATAATTCTCGACGCGTCTAGTCATCGTCAAACTGCAACTTCCAGGTGAAATCGTCACCGGGGCGATCATTCAGTCCAATAAAACTCTTCATCGCGCCATTGTATTTGATTTTTATATTTGCGGGCAGAGCTCACCACGCTGCTCCTCGTCGCAACCCATGTAGATATTTAGGCACACATAATAAAATACGTTATTACAGCAAGCCGAGTGTGACAGATGAACAATTATTATGTATCGTTCTATTATTGCTTATATACGCGCGGAACGGAGATCGTGTAAATTCTGATTGCTACAGCCGAAAAGAATAAAATTGAGCTGGAGTGCCGGACACCACCACATGCCCTCGCCTTTATTATATTATATTATATCGTTATTATTATTATTACTATTATTATATTTTTGTGGACGGCTTTACAACTCTCCACAGCAGATCCTCGAGATTAACGGTATACCGCCGTCACGTCGGTATATATGGTAAAACAATAGCTTTGGTACGCGTCGTCCGAACAATCCAGATATCATTATATACGGTGTGCGGCCTGCCTCTTCCCGCCCCTCTACAATGCACACTTCCGCCGGGCGCAGTTGCTGATATAATTAAACAGGGAAAAATAACCGTGTCGAATGTACGAAAACCTATGGTGTGGGGTCTTTACTATACATAAAGAATCTTTATCGTCTTGACTGCGGCCGAATATTATTCAGGTCGAGTTCGGAAAACGACGAGATTTCCTATCGTGGAAATGGCAACAACCAGCACTATCGTTTTTATATTTGGTTCATTTAATATTTTATTGTAATAAAAATTCAAGACGATCGCACGACTCTAACTAGATACCTATACCTGTGCGCCACATCGTAAAACGTAATGCCGGATTGTCTTCCGTCATTTACTTCCCGCGGTGTCAACGTCATTATCGAAATCACCGCGAGTGACCATCTTCGTCATTATAATATTATATTTAGGTATAGGTACCTCCTAGCTATATCTAACTGGTGGCCTATACAGTTGTCATCGGAATAAATCAAATAAATGTAGGCGGTAGGTATTACATAGAATTTATGTTTTTATTCGACATTTGTACATTACTATATTGCTTGTGTAAGTTGTACGATTAAACGATTGGGCTTTATTATTTCGTTACCCACTAGTGTCAACAATAAACTATGTATATAATATAGCCAGTGCAGTGCACTGACCCAGTTCAAAGAGAGTTTAACGCCCCGTCTGCCAAAATAAATACCCGCATGTCATACGTCAATTATTATTAAAGCAATTCAAACGTTAATGTGTTCCATGCACGGTTACACCTTAAAAAAAATTGCCGTATAATTTAATTTGTTCGTTTATTTAAAAGAACTTTAAATCCATGGCGAATATTGTGGCACGCCCGCGATTTAAGTACAACGATTTTACACAGACATGACAGCGTAGACGGCTATAACTCGAGTATTAAATATAATACACAAGTTTTGACTTTCTATATATCGTTTCGTGACAGTATAGCACAATGAATCCAGATAAATATCTATGTTATACTTAAATTATAATGTATTTATATGGGTGAATTTAAGTAATTAAGCTCAACAAGAATACTTACGTTTAAGTATGACGTTATTGACTTATTGTATAATATAATATATAGTTGATCATAATATTATTTTCGCTAGTTTGACCAATTAAGGATTATGCTCTGGATAGGTGAATTGGGCTTCCAAATTTCCGGGCCCCAAAATATCTCTGAACGGGTCTATACTTATTGCTTGGTGCTATAAAAACGTAACTAGGTAGGTATAATATATTTTTTTAAATAATCGGCATCAATTTAAGCACGTATTAAAATCGTCGATGTTATGTCACATTCCGTTATTCTTTAATGCATTCTTCTACAAAATATTTCTTTAATCTTTCTATACAGATTACTGTAATTTAAACATTTTATTAATATACAGGTATACGTATTACGTATATACTGCATCCTCTACAATAATAACACCGGAGGTGAATATAATTTTCGGGATCTGATAGTTTTGGCAGTGTATACAATGAATACATCAATCTCATTACCATACATTTTTTTATGATCGAAAATAATAATAAAATACCTATCAAACATAATGGATTCACTAATATAAATATAGGGTTAAGAAATTCTTGTGCTTCCATGTTTATATAATATTAGTAATAACTTGTTAACATCGAAATTACTATCTATAGAATATTTCTGTGTTAAATCATGTTTGTCTATAACTGCCTACATAGGTGAAATAAATTCACATTTTTGTTAAAAAATTACTAGCGTTTTGTTTAAATAAGAAATCATCTTTTTGAATTTCGGAAGGAATAATAAGAAATTGAAGATATTATTGCACGTGACTTTGTGCAAAACTATCGAAATCGAGGATGAACGTTTAGGAATAATATTTCAGTTCAATTTACCGGATGAATATCTAAAAATAATTACTCGGTTTCGGAATCGAATCGGATGCGGTAAAGACATTGGTTTGGTCAGAAACGTGAATAGACACGCAGAGATATATTATATATTTTTTTTTCATTGAGTTATGCATTTTTAAAAATATTTCTTAAAGCGGAGAAAATGATTTTTTCAAAACTTCTATATTATTATATTCTGTTATTTTTTTTTCATCATAAAAATTTTGTCCAGCAATGGGTACGTCGTTCATACGTGGTCTGCGAATATACGTATACTGCAGACAGAAAATGACATACGCGGCCACCGATTTTCCGAGATAGTTCCTTGAACTCGGCACAACGATTCGACTCGATTTGTACGGTCGCTCCGGAGAATTCCGTTTATATACATATGGGTAGAGAAGACAAAAAATTATTAAAAAAAAAATTATATAGTTTTTAGTATAAAATATGGTTGGTATTTCGTGATTCAAATCATATACAGAGGTTTTTTTCCCGTCGGACAAATATTCAAGCAATATTTCAGTAGTCTATTCAACTCATGATTAAATTTTTAAAAATAAAAAAAACAACCATAACTTGAAGTATTATTATATTATATAGATGACATTACGTCAATGACAATTTTGACCCACGGGGTACAGACATTTTGAATAAATTACCAAGTCAAACAAAATAATATCTGAAAAAAAACATACATACTTAACATAATATTATAGTGATTTCTTAATCTTCGAGGGTATACACATACATACCTACTTAAAATGATATTGTTTTCTGACACTGGAAAAGATAATAATTTATTTTTATGAAGGGGTATGCCGACCATAATTATTGAAACATTAACGGGAATTATTGAACTCATAAAAAACATATTCCTTATTATTATGAAAGCATATATTATACGTATTATTGTTGTTTGAAATGTATATAATTATGTAAGCAATTGATGGTTTACTGTTTTAAAATGTATAGTAAGTACTTTAAAGTGTGTTTATTTCTGTTTCAGGAGTCGTTTAAAATATGAAAGCTGCCGGCGTAGTGCTACATTCCGGTAGTTGGTCAAGATGGTCACTGTTCTTACTTTTGTGGACAAACTTTGCTAGCGTGCTTTGTACGTATTATAATAATATATTACTCTACTAAATAAACAGATTTTGTCTATCAAAAAATGTTAATTGACAAATAAAATGTGTAGTCATTTTACATTTATATACTACTCAGCTTTCATAGTGTAAATAATCTAATATGAAACAGAGGCAGCTAGTTAATTGCAAGAGACTATATTCGCAGCAATTTAAAATTGCATCCACTTGCCCACAACCCGCATATTATAATATAGTGTGTATAAGAAGGAGTAAATTATAGCCAATATTAAATAAAAAAATAATTTTCATAATATATAGAATATACAGAACCTATTGAATCGATTGTTTTTTAGTATTATTATTGAAATACATAATAATTTTAATTTATACAAACATTATTTATGCATTTCTAACAGATTTCGTGGGTACCTTATAGTAAGGTCATCTTTGTCACATAGGTAGTTGACAAGGGTGTATGACACTTATGTAGTAAAAAAAAAAATGTTTTCTCTTAAATCGAAAATCAAAATAGATATTTTCTATAAGCCTTTATCATGCAAATTAAGTACAAGTAAAGTTTGAACTTTAAGAATGCTTTTAGATATTTCTTAAAGTATTTTTGCTAAAAAAAAAATCATGAGAATAGTAGGTACTTTACACATGAATTTATTTGACCAACTTGAATTATTTGATTCTAAAAAACGTAGGTATAGGTACTTTGAAATGTACACATATTATTATTATTTGTAAGATTATATTATAAGCTCATATGATGGATATTATTTAAATGAGTACAAATTAATATGATAGTAATTGTATTATCTACTATAAGTACCATATTCTGAGAATTTAAAATTTCAAATAAGGTCATATATTCACTTTGAAAGTTCTAATAGCCACACTCCACGGTTGATAAACCAATCACGTATACAATATCGTCCAAATGGCCCCAATACGTCCACTGTAGGTTATAAAAATAATCTCTGCAGGTGCATGCATTTTTATTTATTCTTATTATGCGTTCAGTTGAAATTCAGTATACACCTTTATTTATGTACCATTACATTATAATTTAAAATTCATAATACCTGTACATATCAGAATTGCGAATGTCATAATATCATAATTATATGCTATACATAATACATATATACTACTATATACCGTGTAAGCCATAAGGCAATTATACTACACGTAAACGCAAATATATAAAATATTATATTACCTGGGCATAATATACCACCGCATATACGTGATTAAATACGAACGGTTTTTGCTTTAAGCTTTTGTAAATCCCGAAAACTGTATTCCACATTATACAGTCGTTATTATTGATACGAGTGTGCGAGTGTGACACAATGCAATATAATATAATATAATATTATTATTATTGTTGTTGTTGTTGTCGAATGGGATGACTGCTGCAGCAGTATATAGGTACGGCGCGACGGACGGCGGAAACGGCGACACTGGCCGTTATAATATTACATATAGACGCACCTGTAATAATATAATAATATACAGACATTAATAATAAAACCGCGCGCGCGTGTGTGTGTGTGTGTGTGTGTGTGTGTGTGTGTACTGTAACTTAAAAATGTACAATTGGATTGTGTGAATCGAACTGGGAACAGAAGATGTTATGACGAAGCGTATAGCAGAATATAACAACTAGAAGACGGTGAAAAATAAATAAATTCCAATAATACCTGCAACAGCTAGCCACCTGTACATTATTATTGTATACACACACACACACACACACACACACACACACACACGGTCGCGGATCCGTGCAGCTTATTAGTGACGTCCGATTGTGTGTGCTGCAGGATGACAGACGGACGCGAAATCGAATGGGAATCGATGAAATAACACACTCGCGTCAGACGCCTGTATATTATCGAGCGTTATTTTATCTGTAGGTATACATACATCATCGCATATAGGATGGATAGGTATACAATAATATTTGCGATGTGCTTTATTATATGAGACGTATATGTCGTCGAGGAGACAATTGCGGCGGGGCTGTCTCGTCGGGACATCGATGATATGTATTTGGTGCAGTACCTATACAGTATATAATATATATATAAATGTGTGTGCACGCCGTGTGTTATAAATCGATACTGACGTGACGGATTTACTTATTATTATATTGCATTAAGAAATGAGACTACGACGACGATATATATAAAAAGCCCGTCTACATCTCGTAATATAACGCCGTCCATATGACAACGTAATGGACGTTCACACACACACACACACACACACAAAATAGCTATATTATAGTTTTTAATGTATTCATTTATTAAACTACGTGTTCGTGTCTGCTCGAAATAATGATAAGTGTATGCCAGTTTTCCGAGTGTGTGTGTGTTCCAGCGGTGGTTTTGAGAGGGGCCGTGGTTGGTGGGGGTGGTACACGGGCTTGGTTTAAATACGTAAATATTTTTAAAAAAAACAATAATATATGGTAATTATTAACAGGAAATATTTTAAATGTTTAAAACATAATGCAACAACAATCAAAATGTTACTTACTTTTAAAAGCACTCACGCTTGGATAGCTTTCAGCAAGAAGAAGAAGACAATTGTTTGTGCCATAGTACTAATAGTACTAAATTTGACCCTCCCCTTTTGAAATGTTGTCAGAACCGTTACCAAAGTGTTATAGACACATATAGACTTTGGCTATCGTGATATATATTATCGCTAGTTGTGAAAAGTCATCCACCACGGTGAGAGGCCATGCATAATTTTCTGAAACCCGAACCGATCAATACTATATATTATATTAGTAGGTAACTATATACTACCGACCGTCCTAACCAATACCAATATATATTATGTTTATAGACCATCCGGTGGTTATAGCTCTCTGAGGGTGCACACATGCAATATTACTATATTAGGCTACGTTACAAATCGATTCGTAAAAATATCAATTAAATTAAACTATACGTTTTATTGTTTTTAAATTTTAATACAATATAGATTATACCAAGCAATCTACGGTTTATTATTAGAGGTTTTCTTTCAATAACTCATTTCTATATTATAACGACGTCTCATGCGGTCTAACAGATGAAATATTACATTGCTGCTCTGCGTTATCAACTCGAGTATAAATATTAAACAGAGCCACAGAGGTACTTACGTCGACTTCTATACATCCGCCCTCGTAAAATAAAAATGGAAGATGATTTTTTACCGAAAAAAAATGTTCACGGCGACGTTACCCAGCGTTTTATATTTTTCATTTTCTTTCGTTTTTATAGTCTGTATATAATATAATGTAACAACCACCACTGACACCAGCCGTGTCCGAATGACGTTGATGTACCTACCTAGAGTACATTGGCCAAAGAACAAAGCATAATATAACCGCGGTACGCATAATATTCTTTGGTTCCAGCTGAAGCAGATCAATATTGTATTATATTTATATAGTCCTTCAAACTATACCAAATTATTCGTGTTTCTATATCATCGTAGTGTTACGATATTGGTAGTTATATAATATTGTGCAAGCTTTAGTGATCAGCAAAATATCGGATTCGAGAACGCACCTATACACACATTTTTTTCATTCTGCACATCGCATACACTTCATTGAATGTATTTTGCAGAGCAGACGAGTCAACGAAAAAACACGTCGTCGGACGAGGTAATCGAACTCTCCTCCATATAGTATTTATCCACTGGTGCATGTTAATACAAATCATACTCTGAAGGGTTGATTAATTGCTTGTTTATTATTCGTTTCCTTTAAACCAGCACTTGTTTTTCAAATATTTTTTTGGTTCCTCCCAGTATGGCATTGCCGCGGTGTCATCACGGTTCGATTCGACTCGGTGAATCTCTACAATATAATATACTCACTTGGTCTCAACATTTGTTAAATAATTATAATTGCCAGAACGGCAGAACAAAATACGTTATGTGCAAAATGACTTATTAGTCAGCATCCTATCAGTTCGAACGAAACTGACAGTTACATTTTATAAAAATTATACCAATTTTCTTATTTTTTTTAAATTCACTACTCGGATAATAAAAATGACAGTTAGATTGTATTGTTCGTACATCAATTTCCTGTTTATAAAATTTACATAATTGTATTTTGTACTTATGTAAAGGACATTATAGGATCTAATAAGTAACCTGATGATAAAACTTATTTGTATGATATGGTCAAATAAAACAGGAAATGTTATGGACACAATTTAAATTTCAGTATCTACATATATCTAAGAATTTTTATATTTTAATCGACATAACATGGTTAATTTAATTTTGTTAATTTAAAGAAGTTAAGTTTCCAACTATTTCCAACTTTTCTAAGCCATTCATAGTAACCGCATTCGGATTCCAGTAATAATATTATTGTCGTCTTCGTCAACTAATAAATTTAACTAAATCCTGAAACCCCCTGAACGATTTATCTTATTTTGTCAATTGTCACACAGGGAACCGAAGTTAGTACACACGTTGCATGCTGAATTCATACGTACACAAATACCGAATAATATACCTACAATGAGTACAGTGAAATTAATAATAATAATATAAAGATATAATAAATATAAATATGTATATATTATGGAAAATTGAAAACATTGTACTAATATTTCTTTTATTATGTATGTGGTACTCGAATGTCTGTTTTTTCAGAACATCTGGGTATAATTTATAGTCTCCGTAGATGACGAGGATAGCCAATTTTCTTTGATGTGTACCCACCTACAGTTATATTATATTTGCCACATGTAGTGAAATTCAAAAAACCTATTAATTGTATTGTTATTATACATGGTTCAGAAATAAACGCTTATTATTTGTATTCACTATATATACATTACTATTATTATTTACTTTTTTTATGGAAACAACATAATATTCTTTTAGGAATTTATAATGTCAACGCCTCGAATTTAGTTTTTCTTAACGCTTTTGTCAGGGTAGACAATGTGATACAATACACAATAATATGTATACCGCTATCGGACAAATAAATTTATACATACGAACAGTTATTGCAATAATATACCATATGTGTCTAAAATAAAATTTAAACAAATAAATGATATCAATATTATGTTAAAAATCGAAAATAATTACCAAATGGCCGCGTGTGTACTCGTAGCCCGTAGGTATAATGTATATACTGTATAGATATATAATAATATTATATACTACATAGTCATAGTATTGATTTCTCTTATAATAATCTATTATATTATTTTCATCTTACATTGTAAAATAAAAAAAATAGACTGTCCAATTCACTATTTTGCAGTATTGTTATTGTTTTACGTTTGTTTTCTCTTCACACGAAAGACGATCATATCGTGAAATATCTACAATGGAATTTTAAAATAAAATAAAAACATTTTTAGTTTAAATCGGCATATAATTTAAAGTAGTATTCAGTTTTACTATAATAGTGTGATAAAAGTTAACATAATTAACAGTTGTTTTAGTCTAGTCTTAACTCTTAATATACATTTAAAAATACATATTTATTATTTACTAAATCAAAAAATCAGAGCGTTTATTATAAGATTTTTTTAAATGATACATATCCAACCCACATTTTTATAATTAATACAATACTTATTATTTTGTTTATTAAAATATCGAATATGATCAACGTAATGCAAAGACACAGCAGAATTCTGATAGGAGGATGACGAACTCGAAACATGTTGTTGGTAATATTATTATATCTATCAGCTATTACATTAAATAAACACTTCAATGTAAAATATACTATTATGTATATAGATATATAAACTATATATAATATTATTGTCTAAAGCGATCGCGCTTTAAAGTCAGCATAGTGTATTCACACCGAGAAGTGTAACCGATTTTTTAATGTGGAAAAAAAACGATTTGTTCATCCGAATCTATTCAGGATGCACACGTCGGGGGATCACACTTGCGGAAAGCAAATCTAATTTTTGGTGTTTACATTTTTTTATTTTATTTTTTTTTTATGACGCAATCCGTCGATCGTCTTCCTATACTTACACGCCGCCTCTACTGTATATGCAATGACTTTAGTGATTTACCATTATTATCCATGTCCAATTACTATGGTACAATTAAAACTACCAGTCCACGGTCATAGACCGCCGTATACGTATCCGCGATTCGTCGTCGGTCGCGGAGTAAGAAATAATGACGATAAAACGCAATAGCGCAGTATAGGTACTTACAGCCAGTTAACACGACACACCGATTCCATTGATCGCACCAACCTACCAATTTTCTCATGCGGCCATCCCAAATATTTACTTATACGCAATTTTATAATTGTTAATTTATATATACACATTGCAGGCAATTAATGATGGAATATCAAACGTAGGTTTCAATTATTGAAAATAAGTTCACACGTCTAGATACATAAAAAAAATAGATACAGTAATAGGTAAACCCAAAATGTACCTACAATCTAAATGTTTAAAAAGTAATGTATAATATATATATTATATAAAATAATAAATCAGGTACTGATGTCTAAATATTAAAATTAAAATGCAATAATCATTAAAATATTATACAATATAAATAATGCAACATGTCAATTCCTTATAAATTATTATTAAACATTTTGAATGGATGTCAGATTTAAGCTTAAACCCATAAAAATGTATATACACTATCAATTGTGCCCAAGTAAATTTAAAAACGATCGATGGCAATACGATGGATTGTTCGGAAAGTTATATCCGTAAATTCCTGGTTCCGTTAATCATGATTTGAAATTAGCGTAATCGTTTTAAAACTATCTGTAGGTACATATGCCGTGGTGAAATAACATTAAAAGGATTGACTCGAGGACTCAATAAAATCCTCTACCGTGTACCTAGGTATATGAATTGGTAATGTTGCACTTATTTTTGTCGAATTACAATCGTTCTGGTCATCACATAAAACTAATTTAGTAAAGAATATTCGGAAGAATAATGTACATTTTTAATATCTAAATTGTGTTGTTTTCATTACAATAATTGAGTGTACATACGCCGATTAAATTAGGAAGATGACCAACTTTTCGACGTGTTTGCATTCGTTTTGGTCAGATCCCAGCCACATTTATAACAAAAGAGTCATTTGATTAGCTGGCGAGTTTATTTTACCTTTTTTGAATCGAAGTGCAATTCTAACATTTAGGCACAGGTGTAAGTAGGGGTGCAGTTCGACAAGCTTCTATGAATGTTATGATGTTTAGGTATTATATGTGTATTATCTACTATAGTCGATCGTTGAATTCCGGGTCAAAAGTGTCGAGGTGCAACAATCGATATCACCAACCCAATTCTCGTTACGAATAGGAAATGGATAATTTTCACATCGCGGGGTGTCATTTGGCTGCCCAAGATGCATAAACCAATTTGTCTGTGTACGTCAATTGATATCAGGCAGCACTCTTGAAATACCTAAGTACCTGTATTATAATGGGGGACATCTTCTCTTTTCGCTCAAGCCGTGATGGCAGGACAAAAATAATTAGGTTATAGGTTATTAACGTCGTTTCTTCGACACACCATATTCGGTCTATAAATTTTCTGGACATAAATTAATACATATTTATTACTTTCTCCGTTTCCAATACAAGAGAGAGCATGGTCTGTATGAGAATTAAGAATATAATTATAATTTTACCTGGCTTGACTGTTATAAATTGATACATATAGTATTAATATTTTTCATTCCCATTACAATATGAAAGATTAATATAATAATTACAATCCAGATTCTGACAATGAAGTAATCAGAAAAAAAACGATTTATATTTTTTCTCCGAGTCATCTGTGACCTGGCTATTCATCAATAGAAAAAATTTTTTTTTTGATATTATATTTAACTAATAATTTTTATTTCATATCTAGGTCGAACTGCTTTTGAAAAACTCACGGAATTAGAGTACAAAGGCACGACATATTATACAGTAAAAAACTTGACGCTGTATGAGTGCCAGGGATGGTGTCGAGAAGAGCCAGAGTGTCAAGCAGCTTCATTTAGGTAAAATAATTGAGTACTTACAAGAAAAAATATTTAAGGGTTTAAAATAAACTCATTTTAAAATAATAGTTGTTTTATAATACAATTAATTACAAAAATTATTCAAAATATTTTTATTTTCAACATTTTAAATTGTTAATATTCTGTTAGTTGTTTAATGTTTCAACCAGAGGTTTTTACTATTAGGTATTTCTGCTGTAATATAATGGATCTACTTTAATTGGTTTTTAAACTTGAAATTTTTGAATAAAATATCGATTTGATTTAATTTCAGTTTCGTTTTAAACCCGTTGACGCCCATTCAAGAAACTATTTGCCAATTACAGAATGAGACAACTGCTAATAATCCAGCGGCAACCCCTCAGCGGTCCGTCAACTTGTATTACATGGTGAAAATGCAAATACGATCGGGTTAGTATATATTAAAAATCATCTTAATGTCTAGATGAATTTTTTTAACCTATATTAAGTTAGACCACGGTTTAAAATATACATAGTAATATAGTACCTATGTACACCTATCACGCACTCCACATCATCGTTCTATATTATTATCGTTGTTTATTACAACGTTCCTGCTGCCTGAAACTATACGTATCGGTATACCGTTAACTCTGGAATTTCATAGCACGCGGCGAACTTCTATGGGTTTCGTGTCCATTTCATCCACCTCCTCGGTGTACCACCGTTGTTGGGATTTTCGATCACGACCGTTAATTATTAACAGTGATTTATCCGTATACATTTTACACTCGTATTGCATATACAGACGTGTATTAGTACCCACATTATAATAATAATATGTACCTGTAATATTATCTAGGTCTGCCAATGTATAGCTAAGTATGTATCACCATTGAATGCGATAAAGAGTTATATTGCTGTGTAGGATAACCATACAGGCGCTGCTAACTATGCTAACTGCTGAAGTACCTACTACCTACTGACTATAGCACACTATTATAAAACTTCTAACTAGGACCGTGTAATATATATTATTATATTATATCTAATATCTGCCATCTTAACGCCGAGTGCTTATATAGTCGTTTAGCTAGAGCAAAAAACCTCCCGTTCTTAAGAAAATAGTGTCCGTTAGTTGTTTTTGTGTTGTGATCAGATTTAGCGTAGCGTGACATTATAATAATGAACATTTAAAGAACCTACCTACCTGCCTACCTACCTACCGCTATATATGGTTGTACTTGTCTTTGCACGAAGTACATTGTCGTATAACGGCTGTAAATTAGATTATTTAAATAGCACATGGAAGGACGTAGGTATACCTACCACGTCAGTATAATAATATAAAAATAAATATTTTTATATCGACATAATAATGATATTGTATTATAATGTTTAGAAAAACTAAGACATAAAATGTATACTAATGCTTGATTCGAGTTTTCTCTGCTGTAGATCCTTAGATATATCATATTCAAATGTATGTTTACTTAAAATACCTTATTTTTATGTCACGATTTAAGTACCGAATTCGTATTGTTTAGATAATGTATGTCTGAGGCCATGGTCCTTTGAAAGAGTACCGAACAAAATGATTCGGGGACTAGATAACGCGTTGATCTACACGTCGACGAAAGAAGCGTGTCTAGCCGCCTGCTTGAACGAGGTAATTATTGATAATAATTATGACTATTAAACTCAATTAAAAACCACTTTTTCCAATATGTTAAAAAATATAAATTTAAAGGTTACCGACTAATTTTAGAATAAAACCATAGTTTGATGACGAAAATAATACACTTACAAACGATTTATTCCCATAGCACCGTTTCACCTGCCGTTCCGTGGAGTACAATTACGTAACACTCCAGTGTCATTTGAGCGATTCGGACAGGAGAACCACTGGCCAGTACGTGCAGTTTGTAGAAGCTCAGGGTGTCGATTACTTTGAAAATCTCTGCATCAAAGGTAATTTGACTTACGATAAAATATGACCTCTCGAGCTGGTTTATCATTGATATGTTTAATTTTCTATCAAACAATAACAATTTCAATGTAATAAAATAATATTCGACCATACGGCATTAGTTTGCATAGTCGAAAAATACAATACATATTATAGGTACAGTCGACATCTTTTGTTATGTCATATTTTATATCATCGTTATCACTGCATAATATTGAAAGTATGGGTTTATTACTTTTGTTTCCAGGCAATCAAGCTTGCAAAGGAAATCGCGTGTTCCAAGTGCCCAGGATCGGAGTGGCCGACGACAAAGTGGCACAGTACGCCTCGTTGCATTACTACAACGACAAGGAACTACAGGTAACATTTAATGCTAATGCGACCGTATAATACACACGCACAGACACGGACAAGACTGCGCAAGGAACTTGTGTGTATTGTAACAATTTGCAACTTTCAAAGTAGATACCTACCTATACCACATACCTGTTATACACGGAGATATGTCCGGGACTTGCGCAGTTTTTTTACATAGGGCACATTGTCTGCTCGTACGTGTATATGGTGTAGGTACCTATAGGTACTGTTCATGAATAGTTAACCGGTTACCGAGTGTATTAAAAACATCGTGTAGAATAAGCAAAGGTCAACTGAATATATTATATTATTATATCATGGCGTGTAGAATGCCGATCGTTTAGAATACTTAAAACAATAAGCGAACAGAGATAGGAACAAAGCTATAAGTGTAGGTAATAGGTATAATAACCTTCACGTATATGACGTATGTATAAAGTGTATTAAATATTATTAATTGTATTTCAAGTATCGATATTGAATGTCAAAAAAAGGTAACTAATCGGAGCTTGTCATAGTAATTAAAATTAAGACCAATTGCGTTTGAACACATGAAAAACCCAGAGCCACGTTTGGCATTTTGACATTCTGCACCTGGTGCTATTTTTATTTTATTTTTCCACCCTCCATCCTAGTTTCTATATACTTATCGTTTTTAATTATTGACAACATAATATATAGTTTAACTCAATTTACATAAGGAAAGTGGTCCGAAGACAGAAAATTAAACAGTATAATACTTACTGTACATTATACATTTATTTGTCAAAAAAAAAAATCGATTTAATCAAAAGGCGGTTTTTCGTATATATTCCAATTTTTTTTTTTGTTTCTCCTCATTATTTTTATAAGTGGGTACTGGGAAATTTCTGCTTTTTACCTCCTTCTCCTAAGTACGAACTAGATTCAATTTGCTACCAATAACCTCAAAAAAAAATTAAAGATCAGAGCATCTTTTCTAATATTACAAGAGTCTTCAGACACAAAAAAAATTAATATTTAAACAAATACAAGTCATTAAAAACAAATAGGCATATTCATCGCTCAGCTCAGAATCTAAAATGTATATAACTATTTAAAAAAAATTCAAGAAGTTGATAAATATCAATGTGGAGCCCCTATCAAAACTTTAAATACTTTAATGACTCCCCTGGTTGCTGAGCAAGTTTTAGATACGTCACTGCTGGTAGTTTATAATATAATATATTGTATACTAGGTATATATATATAGCCATATAGGTTTAGTCATCATCGGGACCGGTGACCGAAAATATTATTACGGAACTCCAAATAACAACAAAAAAATATTGATAATAATAATAATATAAAAAATAAGTTCAAGTCATATTCGTCCGTGAAAACTCGAGTAAACCGAATATTATTTCCATTTTCCCAGGTGACCAGCGAGTCGGCGTGTCGGTTGGCTTGCGAAATCGAGAACGAGTTCCTCTGCCGGTCGTTCATCTTCAAAGGACCGCCAGTGGGCACGGCGTACAACTGCGAACTGTTCCACTTGGACCACAAGACGCTGCCAGATGGACCCAGTACGTACTTGAACGCCGAACGACCACTGATCGACGACGGGCAAAAGATCGGCAATTACTACGAAAACTACTGCGAGAGTGAGTTGGTTTTTGACTTCAATTGTCCGCGCTTGTGTGGTGGCAGGTGATGGCCACGGACCACCGTGTCGCTCTTACCGTACAATGTGTCTATATATGTTAAACCCTTATACTTCCCACCCTCGACTCTGTATGTATACATACATAAATAGGGTGATTCACCAACCATGCCCACCCACGTTTATTCTTTAATGATGCAGTTATTCAAAATCAGATTTTTGGTATTTTTAAGTACACTTAAAGATAATATTTTCGCACCACACTTGAGATAAGGACGCTCCTTAAACGGCACAGAAAACATTAAGTATTAAAATATATATTTAAAAAATCCAAAAATCAGATTTTGATTGACTTTATTATTTGAGAAAAAAGTGCGGTGAGCATTACTTACAGTGAATAGTAAATAGGAGGTACTACATGTATATAATAATACCTATATATTGCATATAATAAACTTAAACGTATATTATTACATACCTACATTAAATATTAATATATTAAATTATTAATTATGTATACATGTAGAGCGGACAAAGTGAATGACGTGCGCTTAACGCACGTGAGGTCGTCGTCATCACAATAATTTATTATACACACCTATTTCATAATAATAGTAAATAATAATAAAACAATCTGACCCGGACGCGTTTTGTTTTGCAGAATCCACGACGCCACCTCACGAACAGCTGCCGGTCGTGTTCGAGAGCACCGACGATCCGTCGCTGAACTTGACTAGAACTGATCTGAACTGTGACAAGACCGGAACGTGTTACGATGGTCAGTGCTTATATATTATATTATATTTAAACAACTAATTTGTACGCATATCAGCATATGAGCTCATGGCAATCAATAGTTATTATAATATAGTTACCAACAAATATTCTATTGGGGCTGTATATACCTATTATTAAGCCTGAGTATTTAATGGAGTAAAAAACTATAGAAATAATGTACCAACGATTACAAAATATTTAAATTATGTTAAAAATATATGCATAATGCATAGGCTTCATGAAAATATACTTTATTGAATGGAATTTCTGAAAAATGAAACTTTTTTTGTAAAATTTTCAAATTCAGTGTAATTGTATTCAAATTAAATTGGCGTAAAACGCAAAATCAATCATTCCCCTTCCAATAAAAAAATGTCAATAAAAACATAAAAAACTAATTTAAAAAATACTAGTTACATGCGATTATATATGCATTAATAACTACAACGTCTAAAACATGCAAAATAGTAATCTTGAATTTAGACAGTTTTGATTTTTTTTTGTCCATATATTTTTATCATGTAAATTGATCATCAAGAGATGACGAATAAAATATGAGATTAAAATTACTAAATTAAATATTTTTCTTTATCTAATTAGTCGTTACACAATTTTGATATAACCTATAGGTAGGTACCTATATTTTTATTTTTCCGTGAGGTTTATATAATTGAGTAGAAATTAGGAATTTTATTTATTGTAAAGATCTTTTCAAATATTTAGCACACTCATTCATATACGTGACTTTAAATATACTTAATACTTACGTTACAAAAACATGGTTTCAAGGTATTAATTAATCGTTACACATGAAGTGGTTATCGGATGTGTCTATAATAATATAATAAAATTAAGTTGAGTCAAATTTATGATTTCATCATTTCGCATCGTAATTTGTAACTGCTGTAATCGACAAACGAAATAACAAAAAAAAAACCCATAAATACTTTTATAAAATAAAATACAATTCGTGATCTTATAATTTAATTTTTCTTATATTCAGTGTCCGTGCATTGCAAGGATACCAAGATAGCTGTTCAAGTACGCACGAACAAACCATTCAACGGTAGAATATACGCGCTCGGAAGATCAGAGACATGCAACATAGACGTGCTCAACAGCGACCAATTCCGATTGGATCTAACAATGGCTGGTCAAGACTGTAATACTCAGTCGGTGGTAAGTAATTTAAACCTAATACTGGAACATGAAACAGTTTTAATGGGAGATTAGTCGCGTAATAAGTTGAGGATTTTCTAAGTCTAGATAAGATTTATTAGTTACACCAAAAAAAAATGGCGAATGTTCGGAAATCCGGTTTATTGAACTATCTTCATTAAAACAGCATGGTTTAAACCTGGATAAAAAATACCTTTTTTTCAGACCGGAGTGTTTTCCAATACAGTGGTCCTCCAACACCACAGCGTTGTTATGACGAAAGCTGACAAAATCTACAAAGTCAAGTGCACGTACGACATGTCTTCAAAGAACATCACATTCGGAATGATGCCAATCAGGTGAAAATTTGACTAGTAGCTACTAAAATGTTTATCACCTATATTTTTTTCATACAACCACAAATGACACGTTCCTATAATTATTTACCGGGACTGTATCTTCTATAATATATGTTACCTATACACTTAAAGTTGTGTGGGTATCGTTGCCAGATATATTGTAATTTGAGTGAGCCGCCGGGCACTCTTAGTTGACCAACAATTACGAATGTATAATCTAATTAAGACTAAAACTTGTCAAACGCTTAACAGGGATCCGGAGATGATAAGCATTACTTCAGCACCAGAAGCACCACCACCGAGGATCAGGATCTTGGACTCCCGAGCAAGGGAAGTGGAGACGGTTCGAATCGGCGACAAGCTGACGTTCAGGATCGAAATCCCCGAAGACAGTGAGTATACAAACTAGATGTTAAGCCCGGTACACCGGTGTCTAACATCTAAGTTTGGGACGAGAAATTCGTTTTTTTATCATACAATCGTGGTACACGTGGTATATGCAACGATTGTGGTTGACCGGGTGAGGGCTTAAGGGTCTTAACCCCTTTAAAGTTCACAATTATTTCTTTCAAATGATCCTGTTCAACGAGTATTATTATTTTATAGCTTATAATCTTGAATAGTATTGAACTTATTTGTTATTATTTTAAAACGATTCGTAAATTAGATTCTATTTTGATCTATTATTTGTAATCGATAATTATTAATTTATCAACCCTTGTCGTCCCAAAAATAAAAACATTTTATTTTATTTAAACTAGCTATACAATAACAATAAAAAATGTTAACACATTATTGAATTTTTGTATTAGCTGTGGGCACTTGCACTAGGTAGGTATAATGTATAATAATGTTAGATAATTTCTAACACTATTATAACATATTATTATGGTTAATGATTCCCCTATTATTTGTTACGCAATATTTAATAGGTAGGTAACATTATTGTTAAAATATGATAAAACCAACAAAAACATATCATAAAATATAGATTAGACGGTGTATTTTATTTGTATGCAATTTTTTTCACTAATTTAAAAGTATTGTAAAAAAAATAATAAAGACAATCCCTCTCAACTCTAAATTCCACTAACTCTCGGTCTATATTCCACGTGCATACGGTATATTATTATAATAATAATATGTCGTAAACAACCATGTCTGCACGCCGTTTTTATGACCTTTCCGCGTGTTTTTCCGCCAATGTAGCGCCGTACGGTATATTCGCGAGGAGTTGCGTGGCCATGGCCAAGGATTCGAAGAGCACGTTCCAGATCATCGATGATGAAGGGTGTCCGGTGGACCCGACCATATTCCCCGGTTTCTCGCCCGAAGGCAACGCACTGCAGTCCGTCTACGAAGCGTTCCGGTTCACGGAGTCGTACGGTGTGATATTCCAGTGCAACGTTAAATACTGTCTGGGCCCTTGCGAACCGGTAATGATTACGCTTTCCGCCGCTACAGCAATATTTTTATAAATGATGATGAATAATAATAACATCAACAACAATAATAATACCGACAAATCGTTTTTTGTTTCCGGTTTTTCCATCATCAGGCTGTTTGCGAATGGGGCCGAGATTCCGTCGAGTCCTGGGGACGGCGCAGGAGGTCGGTGTCTGGAGCGCAGCCCAGCAACAATGACACTGCCGAAAACAGTGAAGACATGACGCAGATCAGTCAGGAAATACTGGTGTTGGACTTTGGTGATGAAAAACAATCGCAGTTCTTGAAGAGCAACGAGCCGCAGTACACAGATTTCAGCAAAGGTAAATAATAATTATATAACAATAATATAGACAAATAGGTTTCGTGTCTATATGCATCTTCATTATACATAATATCCGTAATAGGCTATAGTCACCTAACAGGTACGCCGAGTGACACAAATTGACAATTTTTTTTTAAATTGTTGTGGTGCCTAGATACCAAACCATCAATAGTTGACGAATTTTTGTTTAACGTTTTACTTTTCTTACAACGATCGCATCGAGAAGCACATTGTTCCATCACTAATATTCATCATATAATACCTATTATATTACAATAGACATTGATGGATTGATGCATCACATAGTTTTCGCTTTTGAAGAATAAACATATAAACTATAAAACGATCATCGATATCGCATCACGTTTTGATCTACCAGTCCATTACATCATGTTGTTTTCCATTACGAGTTTACATTCTCAAACTCGATATCATGAACTCTTCGCCTACCCACTGCAGGGGTCTTGCCAAATATCAAATTAATCAATAATAAAATTGTTTGTTATTGATTTGTGGTAGACGTCATTTTTCGTGTGATCATTTTCAATACCAACGATTGGTAGTATTTTTCTAATTTCGAATCCGCATGTACCAACGTAATAGGTTTTTGCACTATAATCAATAGGTGAAATGTTAACTATTCTGTGCTGTAACAGTATGTACATAATCTTCGCTTAAACAAATACTGATTACTCTACTGACTCATTTGGACATATTTTATTTTACAGACAAGACAATCACTATTGTGGAACCGTGTCCGACCAAAACGTCCGTACTCGCATTGGGCATCACGTGTATGCTGCTCATATTGATTTACGTGAGCACAGTATTCTGTTACTACATGAAGAAATGGATGACTCCAAGAAAAATGATGGCATAGAAAATGTGTCCACTAAAAACATTGCCTACTCTTGTCAATAAGCCATGGTTGATAATATATACTCAAATTAAAACCAACAAACAAAAATAAAATATTAATAATAAAACGACAATATTATATTGTACGTCCAAAACGTGTAATAAGTAAAATATGTAATATCCCGCCAAATTAATTTCCTATATTTAGGAAATACTGCACAATCATTTTTACCATCGCTCATATCGATAGGAACAGTAAAAATAATGTACCTATCACAAACCTACTACTGAAATCGAATTTATAAAAAACTAATGTAAATGTTATCGCCCCTGGCGATAAACTTAACATTTTTGTATATAAAACAGGATTAGTCCTATATTATATAATTTGAATAATTTAAGTTTGATTTTGTGCCTATTGGAATTTCGCGCATTTCCATACAGTAAATATTTTATATTATATCATATCCGTAATTTTTATTTCCCAATACAATTATTAGTATCGTCGTTATAAAATAATTGTGTATTTGAACGTCATACTTACATGCACAATGCACGTGCATGATACTATATATTTACTATATGTGTGTAAAGTATACTTGTCATGAAGATGAAAAACTTGATTTTATTATAAAACAATTGATAATAAAGTTAAATACATTTAGGAAAACATTAGGAAATTAAATTTGAATTAAGTTTTTCCTCTTCTTGATGAGTATCACTTCATTTTAATTGTAAAAATAAATAAGATTATATTTATGTCTCAATCTAGGCGCTCTCTACAAAGCCTAATATTATGCATTTTCAAATTAATTTAACCAATTTTCATAAACAAAGAATAGATATTATACTTAATTTATATTCAAAAAAAAATTAACGTCTAGATAGGCAAATATTTTATAGTTAATTTAATTTAATTTAAACAACTAGTTTTATTAATTTATATAAAAACGTAGAAATTAAATATTTATAGGCACGTTTAATTGTATCATGTATTTTTTTTTAAATATATTTTATAATATAGACAAATATTATAGAAATATACAAAAACTGTATTCATTTATTGAAACCAACCATTGAACCAAATCTCCTATAGTCCATCGGACATTAGGCCGTTAGGTTGACAACCTAATAAATTTTAATTTAAATAGGAATGAATAATAATAGGAATATAGGACAAGAGTCTATTTATTATATCACTTATCTCCTAGTCAAGACAAATCCGCATTAAATCAAAATCCTTTGTTTATGGTTTTTTAATTATCTTAGATTAAAATTACCAATTACAAACACTATTGATGATAATATTGTTGAGGGTTCGACATATCAGTTTAGTATTTTATTCATGATTTAAATTTAAAAATATTTGTATTTTTTTTTTTTTTGTAAATCAAAATAGGGTTACATTCAAATATTTAATATTTACATATTTAAATATAGATAGATAGAGAATAATTATATATATAAAACCCCTCAAAACATAATTCCTCCTGTTTTTGTGGTAAGTGATTTTAATCAAAGATTACTTACTGAAAAACAAAACAAACAATTTTTGCTTCAATGATTTTAGTCTATGTCACGCAGTGGCGAAACGAACATGGTCTTTGAGAAACAATTGCTTCTCGATATTTTTAATATTTAGGGGTGGGTGGGTGCTCAATATGGATGTAAAAAAACAAAACTAAATAATAATGGTCGTAGGCAATAGGTAATAGCAATGCTAATAGTACTTGTGTTTATTATAAATTATTAGTGGGAGGGTGGGTGGATTCTGTGTCAATTTTAGGTTGCTTATGGGTTATTTTAGGTTCTTTTCGCTACTGATGTCAGTATGTCACGCATGGGTATAAGAGAGGTAAAATAAATGAAGCTTACAGACATATTACTCCTTATTAATTGATAAAGTGATTTTTTGCGTTTAATTAAATTGCGTGTATATAGTACTGTATACTATATAATATAGTTATTAATTATATACTTTAAAAGTTTCAAGATGATACCCACGAAACAACTAAAATCGTTATTCTTCGTTTAAATATCTTATTTTATCCAAATTCAAACTTAAAATATCCATAAATACAACTACTTGTGAGAAGCTATGAAAATGCGATTTTATTAATTTTGAACTACCAAAATAATTTGCAACTTTCCGAGAATTTGATGAATTTTGTCAAAATTTGAACTTGATCAATGATTATAAAAAAATGCTTATATGTGTACATGTATGCATATTATGCATAAAAATGTATTTATTTAATATTTTTCAACCTCAAAAACGTATGTAGAACTTGTATACAATTTTCAAACTTGCAAACGATACTATTATATTGACATATATAAAAAAAAATTAATCTAAAATGTCTATAAATAGCTCAAAACAAGTCAACATAATAAGAAAATATTATGATGTATAGAAAATCATAAAATAAATATTTGGTGAAAATTTCAAGTATCTCCAGTTATTATTTTTTGAATTACAGTAAAATTAGAAAATCGTTCGATGGGAATTCGTTAATTTGCAGATAATCATACAGTCAAGAAAATTGAACTTCAGACACACATAAAAATTAATTTGACCTTCCAATAAACCTATTTTTGTTAATGGTAGGAAAACTTACGAGGAACTTACTTGTACATATTTTTCAAATTTCTTATAGACAGTAATATTTTTTTTAATACTAGTCAAAACTTCTTTTCTTATGCTTATAAATAGTTCAAAAAGTGTCAAAATATTTTGAAATTGTATGGTGTGTAGAAAATGCTAATATACACATTTAATAAAAATATAAAGTATTTACCGTTATTAATTTTGTGGTTCAAAAAAATTAGAAAATCAAATTTATTGAGAGCTATTGTTTTGCTTTAAAATTTTAGTTTTGCCCTAATTTTTATTTGTTTTCATAATTATAAAGAAAAGTCCTAGAAACTTGTACTTTTTACCTCCCAAAACTGCTAACTAGATTCATTTTTCTATTTTAGAAAATAAATTGAAGTTTAAAATCAAAGTATTGAATCTCAAAGTACATTTTTATATCTATATAATGATTAAATTATAATTTAATTTTTCTCTTTTTATTACCTGTACTCTTAAATAAATTAAATCCCTCTTCATAGAAAATTCTTGCTCGCGCTACTGCTTAGTACCAGACATGTGTTTTGAAATTATCGCCCTCATAAGTCATAATATATGCCATTAGTAAATTAGGTATTATTTATATAGTTAAATAACTCATATTTTGTTAGTATGGCTTCAATAGCCATGATAAATATTTGATTAATAAACTGTGAGTTGGGTTGAAGTTACTCACCGCGCAATATTCATAATCATAAGACTAACTGAAATGATGAGGGGTTTCAGCAGCTTCAGTTTTTCCATTGAAATAATTGTTACTGAGTATACAATATACATAATACATATAATTACATATAATTAAAAGTTAAAACTGTCATAAAATATTAGAATTTGCATTTTCAAGGCATGATATGAATTTCAAAACATTTGACTTTTTTAGTTCGTTTTTTGATTTATGTTGATGACATTATTTTCAATGCTAAAAAGCTTGGACATTCAATACAAGGAGGGTTTCTTAAATTGTTCATAAAGCGGTTCAAAAATATCAAAAATATCAAAAATATCGAATATTATATTGTCAACATTTCTTTTCATAATAGCTATTATAAACTTATAATTTATAAGTGTAGGTTGGATTTTTTGCATCCATCATTTCTTTAGTATAGGTAGTATAATTGAATACAAATCTAAAAAACTTAAAATTTAAAAGTCAAAACGATGCACACAGTTTAAACTGCTTACCTTCAAAACTAATGTGGTTTGAAGAAAGTTCCTATAGTGATTATATTATACACATCGGCATATATAAACAACATTGTTGTTTTTATATAATGTCTATGTATTAACATTATAAATTATATCACTGATAATCAACCATCAACAGGACGATAATATTGTTATTATGTCTATTGTCTATAATCTACCTATAGTGTCACGCGTATTAGAATTCAAATCTCAAATCGTAGATTGATTTGGTTTTATATTGAAATTTATTGTAAAATGTTAACTTTAATGTTATATTTTAAGTTGTGTTTAGACGGGGAAATTTGCACCACGCAAAACGTCAAAAAAAAATACCCAAAAATATGTATTACAAAATATTTCATTATTTGTACGTTATGCTTAGAATATAATGCGATATTGCGATCAATCCATCTAGGGTACCCACCAGCTACCACAAACCCCTCTGTTTAAGGAAAATCACAGAGGCAATCGCCTCTGGAATCACCGTTCACCGCGCCACTGGATCCATCAACCCTGGTACAATTTTCAAACATGCATCCTTTTTAGATTTTCGTATAATATATATAGTTTAAATAACAATATTTATACTCCGGTTTTCCTACTTAAAAATTCCGAGTAAACATATTTTAATTTAATTTAATTTTTCGTGTGGGGACCAAAAATAAAGTAATATAATATATAAATACTATCATATCTACAATTTTTTATTTCGTGGCTGAAAATTAAAAAAATACTGAACCGTGCTAGCTGCGCTACCAAGGACACTGATTGACGATCAATCTTCATTTAAATAACAATTGAACTTCGATACAGTTTATCGCTAACAGTAATTCATAACAATTTTTCATCCACATAGAAATCTCGTGAATTTACTTAATAATTATTTAAGGTTTGCTTTTCGCTCTCGTAAGCTAACAAGTTTCCAGTGACATGGTCAACAAACGTAAAAGAACTTCGACCAACGATGGAGACCACGTTGAAAAGAAGTCGAAACAATCTACCGTCACAAGTACGTGCAACTCGAGGGCATAGCCTTTCTGACTTCGATGTAGCCCCCTCCCTCTCAAAAAATATCCTTTATCGATTTGGATATAAAAGCCCCTTATGAGTTATTTTAAGTTAATAGTTTTGTTAGGTGGGCTGTAGCCCCCTCCCCCAGCATTTTAACCCCAGTTGCGCTTATGCAGGCACATGTATACCAATAATGTTTTCATCCCACTACTGAACCACGGTTTAGGAATTCTCAGTTACAGCTCGAACCTCGAAAATCTGAAAATCTCTGCAAACATATAGAAGGATTTTGTTTTTTTGTCCCGATTGGTGCAATCGTACTCCACCGGTCCCGATATACCTTTTCAGGTAAGAAACCGTCATATTACGGTTAGTGCTTGTTATCAGAGCAATTCATTGTGAGTTTATCGCGGTTATTATACGGAAGAACAGCTTAGATTTAAGTCGCCTAAAATAACGGAAATATCGATTTACCTAAATCCATTGAATATTTAGTGCGATAGCTGAACTATTTTTTTAACTAATTCATCACAAAAGCGTGTGGAGTTTTGATCATATACAAATACACATGTCACAACTACACAAGCACGAGTGGCGCATTATAGTAATATTATAGGTATCATAATTACGTAGATACCTATATGATATAATCTGTATGTTTTATATATTCATATCAATGTTTTTCTGCAGATGATGCAAATGGTACTTCATCATCTAAGATGACTGATTGTGAAGTAATATCGTTCATGATGCCAAATGCTTTGCCGAATCGCCCGGAAAATCCGGAACGAAACCCTCCGCCTCGGGTGCATCGTGCACGCATCGGCGAATCCGTGCATGGCGAAGTAAGCGTATGATGACACGTTTACATAATGTTATTAATTTAATAATTTATGACTTGGTACAGTTTCGAATCGCGTTTTTTACACTAGATACGTGCATTCTTTGAAAAGTAGAATATTAGTCATTTCACGTTACCTGTATAGATATGTTAGTAAAACTAGAAAGTGCTAACAATAATGACAGGTATCGAAGTGATGATTAAAATAGCGTCAGGCGATTCATAAAAACATTTTATTAGTGTAATCCCAAATATGAAAATGGAAAGACGTTCCGTGTATTATTATTTTTTATTTATAAACGTAAACTGAAAAAAAAAACATTTTTTTAACGTGATTAATAGATTAGGGGTAATCGACCCGAAATTATCGTCTGGGATTCGAATGAACCCGCCATTGCACATCAGTCGGGCAACGAGGGGGCCGCGGCACCGACAACAACTACTGATAATCGTATCTTACCCGATGATGGAATAAACGACGGAGACACAGTGCGTATATCATTTTTATCATAAATTATTTTGCACAACATTTAGCAATAATAGTTTATCCATAAACCTGATAAACCTATATTTAGAACATTATTTTCCTCGATCACTTTTTTCAGAACATCTTACATTCTTACAATTATATGTTATTTTTTATTGAAATTTTAAATTCGAACATTAATCTCTCACACCTTCCTCACACCATGCACAACGAGATAATAGATTTAACATTAGTTGAAGACAATGGTTGAATGGTCATGTACTATCGCACATACATACATACATACATACATACATACATACATACATACATACATACATACATACATACATACAGGATCGAATTAAGGGTTATAGGGGGTCCGGAGTCGATGTAAGGTAAAGGATGTAAGGTCTTCACAACTAAAAAAATTTTAGTTGACTTCTTGCGTGCTTTAGAATTAAACTTTTTTGTAGGGCCCCTTAAATCCGGCTCTGCATACATACATACATAGTATTTCCTACATACATACATACATTGATTTTATATATTTTGTTGAAAGGATTCCTCCGATAGTGATTTTGATGTAATAGACTTAACATCAGATGATGATAATATAAATTCATATTATTCAATTGAAAATGACATAGAGATAGATGAAACCAGCGGTTTAGAGGTGCGTATATATTGCAGAACTACAACTCGTAATTACGAATTCTACATTACTTATATGGCTATACAGTATATACATACATTGATTTTATATATTTTGTTGAAAGGATTCCTCCGATAGTGATTTTGATGTAATAGACTTAACATCAGATGATGATAATATAAATTCATATTATTCAATTGAAAATGACATAGAGATAGATGAAACCAGCGGTTTAGAGGTGCGTATATATTGCAGAACTACAACTCGTAATTACGAATTCTACATTACTTATATGGCTATACAGTATACACATACATTGATTTTATATATTTTGTTGAAAGGATTCCTCCGATAGTGATTTTGAAGTAATAGACTTAACATCAGATGATGATACAAATTCGTGTTATTTGATTGAAAACGATGATGAATAATTCAGAATAACCCGCTTAAAAATGCAAAGGTACCTATTATAATATCATGTACATTGTACATTATATTAACAACGAATTCTTCACAATGGGGTATCCATGATTTTTCAATGGGGAGGTGGGGAGGGTTAGGTTAGGTTAGATATTTTGCAAATTTAAGTTGCTATTAAAGTAGGTATAAACCCAACCCGGATTGTTACTTATGACATCTCCCCCCCCCATTGAAAATTCCCGGGCACCCCTATATCCCCACTGTTGTTTACTTTAATTTAGTACAATGATTAATGATGTTGCAGCTAATAATCGATTATGATTGATGGGATTATGTATCGAAGTCATTTACAAAATCGAATGAATCTTTCTACAGAAAATGCATAAATAATTAATCAAAATTAGCTTAGTTTTTAAATAAAACGTTAACAATATATTTTTTTTTTTATAATGTAATTAAGTATTATCCTGTTTATGTGTATAATTTACAAAATATATTTGTACTTCTCTTAAATTATGTACCTAATAAAAAAACTATAGTCTATAACTATTGTTATTTTTTTATGTACTTATGTACCTAATATGTATATTGTATGTTGTTATTTTATTGTTTATGTAATACAGACATACAGTAAGAATCTATTTGGGGTTGTATTGACGATTGACAAATCGCATATATTTTATCGTATAACTAAGTACCAATTATTAGCTTACAAGTTACAAGTCAATACAACCACCACAAATAACGATGTTGTGATACCAATAATAAATTTAATTTTATTGGTTGGGTCAAAAAGTATACAAATTTAATGCAAGACTCTTGATAATTTGGAAGAACAGGGTAACGACATTTTTTATCTTTGACAGGATGAAAGACTGTCAATGAATGTGAGTGTTTAAATAATTGTTTCCTTGTTTATAATTTATATAACAGTTAAATTGTGCTATTCAACACATTTGTATGGTTTTTTTTTTATGAAAATTAAATGTTATTACTTATTACCAATACATATTACTTATTCTATAATAATTAATAATATCAAACAAATAATAACCCCCTACATTTTTGTTTTATATGTCTTGATAAGAAATTGACGATCTAGGTCTTTCAGTTGTAAGTTGTTCTACTTCTAGTTCAAATCAGCCATAATTAAAAAGTCATTAACTGAATAAAATGGCATTGTTGTTTGGGTAGTTAGTAGAGGAGAGATAAACCATGTCATCCTGAGGTCTAGTATTTTAAATAAATATAATTTAACAGACAGAAAAATCATTTAAAACAGTAGTGATCATTATCTTAATCTGTTACTGTTTCACTCATATTAAAATAAAGTACATACTCATTCATTTGAAATTATTGTTATATATGTACAATGTTAAGAGTCTAGGGGTCTGTGAATTCAATACAATTAGTGCACCCACAAAAATATTGACCTAGTTGCGCCTATGCAACAGCTACTCATAATATATAGGTTTGGTGCAACAAATTATTAACTCTTACTAAATAATTATATAATGATTACAAAGTTGCCATGAGAATGAATCATACAAGTCAAAATATTTAAGACATAAAGCTAGAAATAAACTTTTTTGAATAAGTATTTTAACTTTCAACTTATAAATCATTAACATTCGGTATTTTTTTTTTACATATTTTTGACATACTAATATAATAAAACCAATTATATTTATTTAAATCTTTTAAATACTTATAAGTAGGTACCTATACATTTTCAGATACCACCTAGGTATAACATAATGTATATAAACTTGTGACCCACCTGGGTGATATTTATATTTTATTAGAATATTTACAAGTTGTAACTTTCTAATAAAATAGAAATATATTAAATATTGTGGTCTCGCGATAGCGAAACTTAATCAATTTTTATTTCAATTCAATTTTTAATCAGACAATGTTATGATACCTGATAGTCAATAAATAATGGTACTTGAAGGACAAAAAATGAAAACAGCATATATATTTTTAATAATAAAAAAATATAATAAATTATAAGAGAAAAGGTAAAACGTAATTTAACAAAAAAGTAACATTTAAGGTACACATGTATATTAATTATAGAATTATTTTCTCTAAAAAAAATAACAAAAATGTATATAGTAAAAATATGTATACATAAAATCATTCATATTATACTAAAATTCTATTACAGAATATAAGTAGGGAACATAAAGCAGTGTAAAGCAATTATTACATGAAATTAAAATATTATTATAATAACTATACATGTATACCATTTTAAAATATGTTTCAATTTTTGTAACACGCGTACAATGTATTTATCACAATAAATCGAACACACCTGTTTGGCTGTCAATAATAATTCTGAACAATACATAATTATCGTACAGGTTAATGTATTCTCGTGCATATTATATTACTTAATAAGACACAAGACTATCAAGTGCTTTATCAGGATCGTTATTGCACTTCACTAGTGCACTGCATATATTTTCTTCTCGAAATCCAAAATCAATAAGCCTATCAACATTTTTAAGAAAAGTGATTGCATGATCAGCATTAAAATTATTAACCACCAGTGCTTGTTCTACACGGTCAGCAGTATAACCACTTGTCTCCTCAATGGAATGTATTTGAATTAAAAACTCTATCACCTTGAAATTATAATAGATGGTCACAACTATGTTTGATGGTTAGATAACTAATTTACATACCTTTGATTCGTCTTTACCAAATAGTTTACACGCTCGTGCAGCACGCGATAAAGAAAAGCCCATTTGATGCATTTGATCAGCAAGACATTGGCTAGTTGGAGAAAGTGATCTGTATGGATTAGGAAATGAACATGTAGGAGATTTAGACCCATTTGCTGTAATGTGTGGTAGAGATTTTTGTGGATCATTCTGAAAGAAAGGTATACAGTAATTTGTTTATAATAATAATTCTTTCGGGTTTATAACACTTACTGGTGATTCGTCATTACACTTTAAAGTATTTAAATCAGCCTCCAATTGTAATAAAATATTTGGCATAGTAACGGGTGGCAAATTTGCTATATTATATTTATCATCAAAAGCATTTGAATTGGACATGCGAGCAGAACTAATAGTCCGGTTTGTTTTTGTATTAGGACCATGTACAAATTCATTGCTACTAAAATGATCTGTATAATTATTGTAAATAGGTTTTGGATAATATTGAGAAACATTTATATCAGATGGTGGATCATTTTTAATATTGGTATTATTGTAGATTGATGTTGGTTTTAAGACAGAAGCTAGCTCTTCTAAATCATTAATAGTTTTTAATTCCATGTTGTCAAATGGACTGGATGTATCAGACTCAAAATCTGATATATTTATAGTTTTTGTGAGCATGGTGTCATATGAAGACATTTTGAAATTTATTTGTTGAGCAGGTATTGGTTGTAACACTTGAGTATTTTGTTGTTGTGCTGGATTAATTAGCGTCAACTTATCTAAATCTAAATAATCTTGTGTTTTGAACTCAGCAGCCTGTGAATGGCGTTTAGTTTGAGCTTCTTCCCGTATTTTGCTCCATATTGCCATTTTCTCAAGTACATTTTTTTCCAAATTAAAATCATACTAATACAAAAATAGTAAAAATTCAGAAAATCAATGCATTATTTCACCAAGACCTATCTAAAATATTGTAATTTTATTACCTGAGTTTTTAATGCATTAGATGTTGGTTTGTGTTGTAATACACCAGGGAGTGCTATTTTTTTCGGAGGCTTGTATTTTTCAATAATTTTAACAGGAATATCATCAATGTATGAAAATCCTATAGATAATAATAATTAATAATTAATAAAATATATATTAGTACATTTTTTGCTTTTATAAAAAATGTAATACATTTTGAGCGCAAGTAGTAATTATTGATACATAATATAATACATATGTAATAAAATATACCATTTTTATCACTTTCTTGTCCACTGCTTCCACCATATGACATATTAAGCACAAATGCTTACACAATATTTAAGTCTTATGAATTCATAGAATTAATTAATATACTCTATAAGTTGATGAGTCCAACTTCATATTTTGTTGTCTATAATAAAATAATAAAAATTTTAATTTTAATTTAAAAAAAAAAATATACAATATTATTTTTTAACGACTATGCAATACATATGACATACATATTTTTAAGTATTTATACAGGTAAAAAAAATTAAATATCAAGGACTAGCTTATTTACTGGTAAACATAATTAAAAACAGTTTGTAATTTGTTAATACATATAAGATATAACATATACACTCTATTTAAGTTAAGAACCATACTTGACAGAGACCGGTTTTTATCAAGCGCAGTTAAATAACAACTATTTATCACCTCCGCCAAGTTGACAAACTGTATGTCTGCATTGTGGCAAAAGCATGACCCAGCCCAAAATTTAGCCGCCAAGTACGCAGTATTCTTAACTTGAATAGAGTATATTATTTGTACATGTTTAGAAAACAATAGTAGTGGTTCTTTGACCATAAATTATAGTAAAATATTTTAAGATATTGTGTTTTACTATTGCTCATGAAAAATTAACTAAAATTTGGGAGAAAATGTATGTAGACTTGCAATAAAGAATTAGTCATGAATGTTGGGCTGAATGTAAGAGAACTAAGAAGGGCTATCAAACACATTATGGCAGTTAAGATTTTGAGCTGAATCAAAAGCAAATACTTTTTGAGCAATATTTGAATAGATTAATGATATTCATTATTACTAGGTACATAGGCAAATATTTTGTGATAGATAGTCCAAATTGTATGATTGCTAGAGCCAATTTTTCACTTTAGCCTGTAACTGTTTTAAATTAATTGGAAAATAGTCAAAGAAAAATATTGGAGCAAAGTATAACTAATTAGACATTTCAGTTTTTTTTTGTGTATGGCTTTAATATCTATTAACTCAACAATTACATTGCATTAACAGATTAACAATACAAAATAACATTTCAGTTTTTAAAAAATATACTTTTAGTGATAACTGATTGGTAATTTTATAATTTTAGTTTTTAATTTGTTAATCAACTTGTTCTTTAAAGTATGGTAAACTGACATATGTTTTTTCGCTTTCAAACACACATGTGAATCATAAAAAAATGATTACATCAGTTTAATAACTAATAATATAGATAATATTTTACTATCATTTTTTAAGTGCGTTTTATGATAATTCCAAAAATGAAGTCCTATATTTCATACATTTGCATTTTTAGTATTTTTGTTTATATTTTCATATAACCTAACATAATAACTTTTTCTTCTGTTATTGCAACTATACAAAAGGGGACCACAGCCTAATAAAACAAAATTGGTCTGCAAATAGCCAAGAATGTATTACTCTATATTGTCTTAAATATCAAAGAAAATCTATCTAGTGGTAACTAACATTGTCTCCTAAAGACTTGATTTACACATTATTTGTTCAAATTGGTTAGACAATTTGTATTAAAAAACAGTGACATAAATTATAGTTTTTAATAAATATAATATACAAAGTTCTAGAGGTAAATATATAAGAAGCTGAGTATTTAGAATTCCAAATAAAACCTTTTGATATCATCATAACTGAATGGTAAAGAAAATTAATCATTTAAATTAAAATTGTAATATATTTAAGAATTGATCAGGCAATAGAAAAACAATGAGTCCTTGAGACTTATTATCATATGCAATATGCATCACGTATCATCAGATTAAATACAATAATCTTATAGGCAATAATCGTGAAAGACATAATATAAAATATTTATGTATGTGTCTGAGCCATTAAAAATACTCACTTATTTTTTTGAAACTAGGTAGACAATTTTAAATAATTTTTACACCTTAAAATTAAGAAAACTTTTTAATTTGATAAAATATGATTTGATAGCAAGACATTTCAGAAATGAATGAAAATTAAATTAAAAAGTAATTAATTGCTTCAGTGCAGGTTAAATTGTATAACAAATTATAAATGATTTTTGGATTAAAAAACTAGTGTACTATAAATGCTAAAAAAATTTATATACATATACTATATATTATTATTTTTATTATGCAATATTGAATGTAATATTTTGATAACAAATTTAACATTATGCTATCACAGAACCAAGGAATTATTTCACATACCACGGTACACATAAATATTTGAGCTCACCTACAACAATTTACTGCATTGCCTGTTGCTATGTTTTACAAACCATTTATATCGGATCCACCTTAGTTCTTATTAAAATACGTTTACTTTACTTGTTTTTTTTTTTTTTTGGAAGCCACTGGTTAATCATTAGGTTCGTTTTTCCGAGTAATTTAAATTTATTACCAAGTAGAGTAATAAATCAAGAAAAGTTTAGTTTAAATCCCGAAAATCGTACATTATTTTTTTGGGTCTTGCATACGACTATATCGAATACATAATATAATTATTAAAAGTCTATGGTGATGACCATGGTTTAAGATACGGAGTACAGATATTTCAAGGTTTATAGATATAGTATTATCTAGAAACCTTGCAGATATTTAATGACCGGTATGATAAGAAAACAATTGATAGGACGCAAGATGTTATTTTTAACTGCTATCCGCCTATCTACGACTCCTATAATACTGTCAGCAGGACGTTGACTACTCACCCGCTACTCAAGACTCTGGCACTGTGGCATACCTCCTACTTAATTACATTCCATAACCCAACTTACCATGAAATTAGTCATTTGAATATTTGATAATGTAAGGTTCACAAGCAGTCGATTTCAATTATAATTATTATATGCTTGTTGTTTTATTACTTATATTGCCATTTAGAGCACTGTCAATTTAATTGTCGTATCTGGCGGTCCACTTTCTGTACCCAATATCTACTATTTGTTTTAAATTACAATGGGTGTGACAAGTTTACAGATAATTTTTGACAACCCTACAGCTGTATTTATGCCTGGTCAATCCGTTACTGGGAGGGTATTGGTAGCTACTAGTAGTTCTGTAAAAATTAGAGGTAAGTGATTTATTAGAATAGTAGGTATCTGGTTTATTTTTCATGTTTAAAATGATTATAACTGGTTGTTATTATAGGTATTAAATTGAAATTCCGAGGAGAAGCCAAAGTTTCATGGACTGAACAAGAATCTCGTAGAAGCGATAATGGTGAAACTGAAAACTACTCTGTCAAATATGATGCTGAAGAAGAATATTTTGAAAATAAAATGACTTTGGTTGGAGGTGGAGGTAAATGAAAATGATTTTGTTTATAACACTTTAGTATTTGATCACTATTACTGCAATTTGGTAAATATTGAGTCAAGAATCTTAAATAAGTATTATTTTAAAATTGTTTTTATTTATATTTAATCATTATTTTTAAGGTGAATCACAGTTAGAGGCAGGTGAACGGGTTTATCCATTTAATATTTCTTTACCTCATCAGTTACCATCTACATTTAATGGAGAGCATGGACACATTCGTTATATAGCAAAAGTTACAATTGATATTCCTTGGGGCAAAGATAAAGAAACAGAAATAACTTTCCAAGTTATTTCTCCTTTGAATTTAAATGACGAACCATCACTAGCTGTAAGTATAATATTTATATAGTCAAGACAGTATTTTTTCTGAATTACTCATCAATCATCATTGTTCCCTGTATAAAATAAAGTATATATTATTTTTTGATAAGATATCAAAATATAATTTTCCCTTAAAATCTAGGTCAATACTTACTGATTTATAAAATTGTATTCATACTTCATTTGTATGAAACTTTTGTTTCCATTTTTTAATTTAACTATCCGTGTTGTCTCAACTGCCGCAATTGGTTAAATAATGAACAAGTATATATTCATATTATATTATTGATGTTTAATTAACATTTAGTCATACATTTAAGATGTAAAAATAATAGATAATTATAAAAAACATTTTTTTGCAGAGAAAAGTAGGTTTTAATATCCATTAAAATTCTATCACATGTTAGATTGAGTTGTACATTGAAAACAAAATTATATTGTTCATTACAATGATACAGATTACAATGCAAATTTATAAAAAGATTCCTATGCGGAGGTCGTCGAGATAACTCAGATGATTCTAGGTCTTACTATGTGTACTAAATATAAAATAACAGGTAGACTTGGAAATACTTAGGTAGTAGAGAACACAAAGTACCCAGATTTTTCACTCATTGGTATGTAGTTTAAGTATACAATTTAAATTAAAACTAAATAAATATCATATCAAATTTAATTAGTCACTCGATCAATCTGATACGATGTCTTAACACATTTTGTCTTATGTAAAATAATAATGTATACACAATTACTAAGATTTGTTACTTGTCCGTTTTTAGGAACCCAAAAAAGAAGAAAAAGAAAAGTTTTATTGTTGCTGTTGCTGCGAGTCTGGTCCAACGACATTGGTAGTCTGTCTTCCTTATAGTGGTTTTGTACCTGGACAAATTATACCTCTTACTGTTGAACTGGATAACAATAGTAATGTAACAATTGATGCTGTCAAAATTAAGTTGAAACGAGTAATGCTTGAATGTGGTGTATTTTTATGATTTTATTAAAGAATATTTATTCTTTTTAGGACCTATCATTTAAAGCAAGACACCCAAGTGAAAAAACAAACTTCAGTTCATCCGAACTTGCAGTTTTACGTTTACAAGGTATTGAAGCTCATGCTTCGAAAACATGGACGGAGCAAATGATAGTTCCGAATAGTTTGATGTTTTCTAATCTAAAGTATTGTGGAATCATAACTGACCAATATGTATTAAATGTAATATAAATAATATTTATAATCTATTATTTGCAATTATGAAACAGATATTTTTTAAATATTTATTTGTTTACAGGTTGAAGCAGTTGCTGGGGGTATGTATGAAAACACTGATATTAATGTGAAAATTACAATGGGTAATATTCCATTATCTATTGCCCAAGATGCACCTCAATTTGGTATTCCAATTCAATCACCTAATCAAAACGATCCTTCAAATGGCCAATTCCCTACAAATTCTACCAACCCTATAAATTTACCTGCCCCTATTCCTGGCTTCGCACAGCAAGTTCCACCACCATATGACCAACCCTCATATCCACAACAAGCCATGGACCCAGCACAAATCTCTGGTCAACCATCATTGTATCCTCAAATGCAAATGTATAACCAATCTCAGTTGCCTTACCCAGATGTGAATATACAACAACCGGCATTCAATCCATCTTATCCTTCTGCCCCTAATCTAGGATAATCTAGGTTCAGAATCTGTTTATATGTATTCTTATTTTATTTTTAATTTAAACGTCGTGATTTCTAGTAATTGAGATGCATTCAGTCAAAATGGTTACAATTGTTTTTCTTAGATATTTTGTATAATAGGCAAACTAACAAAATATTTAACAATTATTACAGTTTCACTATATATTTTATCGATTTATTTAAATATTATTAATGTTACATATAGTATTTAACCACTTACTTGTTTCACTAATTGTTACTGTTATATTTATTAATTAATAATTTATTAAACTTCAATACAGTTTTTGTTCAACATTTCAGTTTGACCATGAATTTTGTAATATACACTCTTTTTAGCATAAGAAGCGATTGCTTTATGTCAATCAGCTCAAACCCAACTGTTCCCTTACTTAATCACCAACAATAGCCAATACACAGAACAAAGTCATACAATTTAGCTTCTCTTGTTGCTTCTTATGTTGAAAGTGAATAAATAGCAACGATTAATGTTTAATAATTTGTAAAGTACCTCTTCAAAACAAGTCGTTTCAACTAGAAAAACAAAAAAACATTCTATCCAATACTTGGGATTATTAAACCATTTATTGGTAAATAAGAAAAATGATGGTTCAATTAAGATTAATACAATTTTTTCAAAAATTGATCCATACTTAATATCAAAATCTATAGAAATATTTATTTAATATGCTTTCAATGCACCTTTATATATTATACCTTCACTTGCTTTAGTCTTTTATGTGCTTGGTGAATTATAGCTGTAATGAACCCTCTATAACATAACTATTGTGTTAGTTATTTGTATTCGGTATAGATTATTAAGATATAAAATTGAATAGCTTTGTGATAACTAATTTTCCTATATTACACTTCTAAAAACTTATATTTTATAACAGTATTTATCAATTATTTTTAAGACAATATTGATACAAATTAAGGTGCTACCTTTTGTGATTGTTTTTGTTACTAACAATATAAAAGAATTTAATTAAACAGCTTTGTTGTAATGCTTAAATATTTAATTTTTTAATAACAATAATTATTTTTATATGATATTTTAAAATAGTTGTTTTATTACATAATATACATTATAAATATATAATTTAAGACTTGTTTTTATTTAGTCTTAGGGTATCACTTATTAACTTATTTTATAAATAAAGAGAATCAAGAAATTTCAAACATTCAAAACCGTTTATTCAACAATGGTAATGATAAGAAATATTTATTAACAAAAACATAAAAGTATAGATGGAAGATAAAAGTTGTTACTTTTTTATATATATATATATATATTATGTTTTATTATTTTTTATGTGTTCTCTATCTAATTTACATTTTTTAATTATTTTATCAAATGTAGATTGATAGTAAACAGTTATCAATCGTATAATGCCACCACAAAAAACCTGAAATGAATAATGATTTGTAAGTAAATGATGTGACTAGTAACGTAAATTTGTAATTAACGTATATTTTTTACCTGACATATTAATTCTATATAAGAAGTGTATGGAGCCATTCCAGCACAAGAAATAGTCATCATGTGACCTTCAAAACCAACAGTACTAAAAAATCGTCCATTCTAAACAATACACAAATTATTTAAATAATAAAATTATTCATCATCATGTACTAATATTAATTTGTTTTAAAATTACTAATGTGTCTTGAAGAATTTTTCTTCCTACTTCTTCTGGTGTAAACAAGTTGGCTGTTTCTGATATCAATAATGTTTCCAGTGGTTTGTTTTTTGACTCGTTAGCATACCCCGGAGTATCTGTATCTGGAGGTAAGGCCAACGTCACTTTTACTCCGAAGTTTTTTGTCTACATGTTTACATATAAATGATTTAAAATATATTACAAGGTAAATATTATTTCAAGTATCCTCAGATGTCCAATATTTATTTACTTCCATGCTTAAAGCTTCAGCAAACCCTCTCAATGCAAATTTTGTGGCAGAGTAAACACTTAAACCATAAATACCACAGAAAGATGCCAGAGATGAAGTTATTACAATACTTCCAAAACCATTTTGTTTCATTTCATTCACTATTGCTTTAGTTGCTTGGATTGTAGATATCAAATTAGTGTTGATCATTTTCTGTTACAATTGGTACTAATTACTTATATATTTTACATTGTATATTAATTATTAAAAGTACCATAATGTCATTGGTGGAAACATCTTCTAATGTTCCACATATAGCCATACCAGCACAATTTATGAACAAATATAATGGTCCCATCTCACCAATTGCATCATTGAAAGCTGTTTTCACCACACTGTAGTCACCCGCTAAATCAACTAATCCAACAAGTTTATTACTTAATAAATTAATGTTTGTCAATTTTGGATTGGAATGACTAAGTAGCTATATGCAGTATTATTTTAAATGTGCTTGTGTTTCATAATTAATGTAACAAAAATAAATATGTTATTTGAATAATTATGGTAGGTACCCATCTAGGAATTTAATACATAACGAACCAGACAAATAGTTGAATTTTTGAGAATTATTTAAACATTGTCCTTTAATTTCTTCCAATGCTAAACTAAGTCTATTTTCATTTCTTGCGACAATAGTTACATTTGCTCCTATCTTAGCAGCCTCCAATGCAATGCATTTACCAATACCACTTGAACCTCCAGTAACCTGAAAAAATGAAAATGTAATGAACCAGTAGAAAATTTAAAACTAAGGAATTTCTGTTACTATAACATGACGGCCAAGTAGAGATTTTTTCTTGGATATGAATTTATATCTTAAAACTGTAGCTAAAACAAACGACAAAGCTAAAACGCCGGAAGTTATTAATGCAAACATTATGTGTTCCATTTCAGACAGAATGCAAACGATGAACAGTCACAATCACATAACAACGAACACAATGATTAACTGAAGTAACGAATTATAATATGACCAATGAGTCAATGAGGAGCGACCACCAAGTAATTAATATGACTGGATGATATTATTAATTATTATGAATTTAAGACAATTCAAAACTTTCAATTATAATTTACGTGCCCACCTAGAATATTCAGAAATCAGAATACGTAATTTTTTGAATTTCCGTCCTAATGTATGACCAGTGGGTCAGTGTAGGCAACCACCCGAGAACATAATATTGTTGACATTTTAAACATCGCACATAACCTACAGAACGAAGCAAATCACGACTGTCGGCCACACGTTCTGTGGCCACAGTGCCGCACCACCGTCGGCCGTCGTAGTATTTGTAGTAATTTGTACAACTTACTGTGATACAAACATCGATGTTTTTCCGAACATTCGGTAAGCAACTTGATTGGTTAATTAAGAATTTTAAATTCACTACTATTTGTAATCATTTGTAAGTCTTGTTTAATGTTTAGTTGTTTCATTTAATATTATTTAATTCACATCTTGAATAATGTTTTTATTTATCTCCTCGTCAAAATATTTAAGTTTGATTATTTACCCCGTAATTTGTACAGTATGGTAATAAATGTTTAATCATAGAATAGATTTATCATTTATATGTATTATAATATATAATACGTATATGTATATGCTTAGGAAACAATCGATTTCATAATGACGCGAGACTGCAAGACTGCGAGTGCTTAAAAAATGGAATTTTCTTATCAGTACAAACTACAAACTACAAAATTACGAATTCCTGCTGAGGATCTAATACAGTATTCAACTCTTGACTAAACTCTTATAATTGGATATTATTAAAGTAGTTCGTTTTTTAATAAATTTCAATCATAGTGTGGCTGGTACGTTATTCGATAATCAAAGAGTAGTCATTCTCGTCGTACTCTCACGAGAATTTCACATTAGTTTTCCAGAGACGGGCAACTGCTATTTATTGTAAGAGCTCAGACCTACCTAACTTACAATGGATAGTGCGTCAAGACCTATTGACAGTATTGCAGATAACCGCTATTTTTGCCACAGCTGTGATGCCGAAATAGGAAGTGTAGCCGATGTATGTTTTTAAGTTTTTCCATTACATGTATTAACTCCAAAGTTATTGATTAATATCTGGTAATGCTATAATATTTTCTTTAAGGATTTTACATGTCCAACGTGCCATTTGGGTTTTATTGAAAAAGTAGAAGGGCAACAAACTCCCGAGGAACCAGATGACGAAGATATGGAATTTGCAAATGCACACTTTATGGTATGTAATTATTCTATTTTAATAATATGTACTATTTTTGAAGTAAAATAAGTAATAACTAATTAGAGATTAATATAGTTTTAAAACTAGTTACGTGTCATTGTAATCTATATCATTGCCTTTGTTATTATACAATTCTTATTACTAGGAATAACTTAAAATTTTAATAAGGTAGATACTGTTATCAATTTTTATTATTATTAACTTAGGTAAGAACATTGAATTATATTTTCAGCTTATATGTACCTATACTTGGTTGTAAAATAAAAAAAACCAGTTCTGTGCATGACTATGATTCATGACCGATGACTGTAGCTACTTGTAGGCATATCCTCTTCCATTGTGCTAGGTATAAAAACAATTCTGTACCCAAAAATTGTTCAACTTTGGACCTAGCAGTTTGGTTGTTTGAAACTAATATATGCTGCTGAACAGAAACTTGTTCTCTGATAAAGTTTATTTTGAAATGGTGTTTAAATAAGATAAGAATGAAGTTTGTATAGTTTGAAATAGTACAACTATGTTAAATGTATTTGCTAGATATCATTAACGACATTTTAATAATTCAGTTGTTTTGGAAATTTCGGATAGATTTCTTGTATTCTATTTTATATGTCATTTTAAAAATTGGATATAAGTTCTCATTCATTTTCAATTCTTTACTTCAAAATATAAATAAATTATACTTATGTTTTAGTTATTTCAGACATATGAGGTATTTCTTAATTAAAAGTTTAAGTATTGAATAAAAAATATTATATTTTACTTCTTTAGATTGTATTAATAATAATTATGTTGAGAATATATAATGGTAGAATAGTGATTAAGTTGTTATATTTGTATTTAAAATAATATAAGTAATGTAAGTACTGTCATCCCACATTCTCATACATAAAATATGTAAGTCTCGGTTAGTTTATTTTTATTAATTTATGACTAAAAATGTTAGTTGTTAATTTTGTAACATATGTTTAGGTTAATGGTATATTAGGAGATAGTGATATTGGAGGAAGACGGAGGTCAAATATTCGTCGCCGGAGATTTACAACAAGAGGTCCTCATGTAATGACATTGCAACCTGGCAGGTAAGTCAAGAAATATTAAAGTTCTAAGGATATTTTTTTACCAGTTACTCAATCTATTGTAACTCAAAAATGAATTACTAGATACTTTTATTTTCACTAAATGTCTTAATGACCATTTTCCATACTTGATAAGCTTTCCAAAATATTCTGACTCTTTGAGTTATTTGTACTTTATATGATACATTTTTTATTGTTTTTAGTTTTATTTTTAAATATTATTATTGATAAATAATTGTTACTGCTTGAAAAAGCTTGAAAATTTAAAATAAGGTTCTTCTTGAGTTCTTATATTAGTTAAAAAATATTACAGCTTAAATTTTATTTTATAAGCATATAAATTTTGATAAAATTTATCGAAATAATGAAAATTTGTAAATTATTTTGTAACTTTCAATTTTTATGGTTAAGGACTGAAAATTTAAAATTTCCTATAAGTAGCTCATTCTGTAACTAAAAAAATATATACACAATCCTTTTTTTCTAGATATTTTAAGTGAAATTATTATTTATGGATATTAGAAACTTTTAAAGTATATTACTATATTTTATACACACAATTACATATTCCAGTACAATATTTTTGGTAAAAATTAATTTTACCTTCTATATTACTAATGTCTAATAGTGAAATATTAATATCATAAGATATAAGTACTACTAAATATTTTTATATTGAAAGGTGATAATAAGACTTATACACATTATTCAATAAACTTTTAACGAGGGCTCGAAATTTCTTTGCACTGTAAAACAACTTAATATTATGCGGTATAATGTGCTTAGAAAAACTGTAAAATATACTCTTTAAATGCAATAAAAAGTTACAAAATATGCAAAAAATAACTATAATTTGTGCACCCTGGCGAGTAAGTGACAAATGAATGGTTCTAGAGGCAAACAAATGTATGCGAGACTTTAGATTTTATAATATCAACACGACTTGGAGCTTTGTTAAAAGTTTTTTTAACACTATATGATATAACTATCAACGGGTTCATATTTTGCTCTAATTTCATCTGCCACCTTGAACACCATATGCCATACACCTAACATGGATCATTTTCGTGTAGTACTTTAAGTGATGTAGGCACATAAGCCATAAAAAGTAACATTTGATCATCTATCAACCTCCCGTGTTTGAAAATAAGATCAATATAATTAATCTGACGATAACCACTTTTATTACGCTGAAATAATTTAGCTACTAAGCATGTGAACAACAGCAAAACTGCCACACAATGAAAACTCATGAAAAATAAGCCATGTAAAAATAGCACTATAAGTTTTTATTTCCTTTTAGTATAAAATTATTTGTAGCTTACTCTGCTTTAAATTTAAATTCCAAAAAAAAAAATGTACAAATAACAAAACCTGTATACATGCATAATAAAAATTATACAATATTGCCTATAGTATTAAATCATGATTTATAAGTCATTAATAATTATTCAAATATGTATAATTTCAGGGGCCCAAGGCGTAGTTCAGGTGGAACAATTGAAAATTTAGTAGAAGATGTCATAGTAAATTTTGCTGATTATGCTCGATCGGGCGGAAGTCCAGTGTAAGAAAATTAAATTATAATTTTTTTTTGTATCAAAACTATACCTCTTGTTAATTAAAATTTCAGCAGTAGATTTTTACTCGGTAATCCTGGTGACTATGTTTGGGGGAGAGATGGATTAGATTCAATTGTGTCACAGTTATTAAATCAGATTGATGGAGCTGGACCTCCTCCATTGACGAAAGAGAAAATACAAGAAATACCTACAGCAATTATTTGTCAAGAACATTTAGGTAAAAATAATTGTATAACTATGTTGTTATATAATATTAATATTGTTATATACTAGTCCCTTTGATTGGCAAAAAAAGGTGCTTATTAAATTATGAATAATAGACATATTAAATTTATAATTAATTATTTTTAAAATCTAAATTTACAAATTGCTTCACTTAGAATTAAATGTGCATTTTAATTTTTAGATGTGAAACTCCAATGCTCTGTTTGTTGGGAAGATTTTACAATTGATGAAAAAGTAATGAAACTAGCTTGCGACCATATGTTTCATAAAGATTGTATTACACCTTGGTTAGAATTGGTAAGTTTTGCTTTTTTTTTAGTTTTGATTTATGTTTGTCTCCACATTTCTCCTTAATCTCAAAACATATGCGATAATCCATGTATAGGAAAGCATCAAGGTTTAATTGATAAGAATGTGATTCCTTAAGTTGATTGTGTTAGCTTATCAAATTACATTTATTGAGGCTTGGGATCAAATTCTGTACCTTATTTATTAAATTATCAATGCATTTCCTAGTTCTTTGTCAGCGGGGGCTAAATAAGTCATACAAGTTAATGAAGTTTTATTTAAAAGTGTGACAATTAAATATTAAAATTTTTAAATAAATTTTATTAAAACATAATTTGGTCATTTACCTTGTGATTCTTTTTTAAATTATAATTATTAGATATGATAAACTATAAGTTAAGTTAAAAGATAAAACCGGTTTATTATACTGTTCAAAATATGTTCTAAATCAGAAGTCCCAAATTGTAATAGTAATGGAGAATAGTTCGTATGTTTCTGAAATCGTTATTTCATATTTCTTAAGAAAGTTATTAAATTGGAAAATATCTTCTATTTTTAAATTATTTTGTTTCATAAGGGTTCATGGACTTGTGTAATATTTTGAATCTACATACACTTTTGCAAAAGGAATTGAAGTGTCATATATCAAAAATTTTGAAGATTGTGGATGAAGAGCCCTTATCCCTCTTATTATATCTGAATTATCACTAAATCTTTTATCCACCTCGTTTGTTATTTTGTTCAAAATTCAATAAAATTTTCCAGATCTGAACTCATTTCTTCAATCTGTGTTTGTTTCCCCAACATACTATTTTCACATATAAATTTCTCTAACTCTTTTGGTAAAGGCTCATCAGTCTGCATACGGAGAACCGGAATGATCTCTCGCTAGGTAGGGTGGTAACAACCCAGTTCTCAATGTATATTAAAACAAATTATACAAACAGTTGTAACAATAACAAAAGAACAAAGTTATACAAAGATTATCGGTCTATTTCAATACAATTTTTATTCGTCGGCATTTTGATGTACTCAAAGTTTCAGATAAAAATTCAAATGAATTCTGCATTAACTAAATGTGATTAGTGAATCCTTAGCATTTACTAGTAAAACTGGGTATTAAAAATATGATAAGGCTTACCCTTTAATATATAATATGTATGATATGTGTTATTATTATTGTTATTTTAATTTTTATGTAGCATGGTACTTGTCCAATTTGCCGTAAATATTTAGCAGATGATGGGTTAAGTTCAATTAATTCAGATCCACTAGGAATCAGTTTAGGTGTTGGACCAAATTTAGCAGCACTCATTAGGTATGAATTATATACATATATATATATTTCTATTATTATTGTTAATTTGTAATTATATTTGAATTGAATTTTGCACTTATAGATTTTAAATTTTTACATTATCTTTAAGTGATACTTTAAATCTGGTATCCATAATTATTTATATTGAATATTTCTACTATTTTATTATTAAATATTCCTGCATTTGATTTTATTTATTTAATGTTTATATTATTATAGAGCTCGTAGTATTCCGCGTACTAATGCTGATCCAGTATGGGGAATGAATGATTATGATATAGCATCTACATCAACTGACTGGCCTACACAACTTGGTATTAGTTTGCCACTGCCAATTGTGTCATCATCATCAGCTACACAAACTCCAGCTGCGGCATCAGGTATGTCAACTTATTCATCCGTCACAGCCAGGAACTTACGTGACCAACGGTTGTCATCTTCATCTGCTGATGTTGAACCAATGGAAACTGATCATGATCAAAATTTACCAGCGGTGAATAATACAAATAATTCCTAGTCTTTTCTAGTAAATACAAGTAATGATTTTAGTACAATATGAGTTTACTGTTTAATACATGAAAGTGAAAGAAATACATTCAATTAATAACAATTAACCAAATATTTTTTATTTGAACCATTTATGAAAGTTTATAACATAATTACAATTATTGATGACTAGTAATTGACAGTTAGTTATTTCAAAAGGTATTTTGTATATATATATATGTATGGATTCCTATATATATGTGAATGTATGTATATTTTAATTACACTGTCTTAAATCACCCAAGTCTCGATTGTAATTAGTAACTTATCAAATACTTTTAATTTATATTATATTAGTAGATATTATAATGCTTGTTTTCTACCTAACTGGTAAATTTCAATTTTACCTGTTGATTGTTAAAATTGTTATGTCTTTTTTTTCATTATAAAACATATTTAAATTATGTTTACTTATCTACACTATACATTATATATATTATTCAATATTATGAAACTGGAATTCATAATTTTAATGAATCATTTAATTTATATTTTATGCTTTTAATACTATAATATAATGGGCTAAATATTAGAAAAATTTAATTAAATGTGTACAAAATATCATCCAATGTAGATTTACTTAAATTTAATATTATCTGTTTTTTTTTTGTTTTATGTGTATTAAACAAAACATAATAGATAGTATATATATATATGTATTAGAAACACATTTGCTGTAATTTGTTGACTGTTAATTTTTTTAACTTCACGTTTTTAATTTTTTCTATTCATTATTTTTATTAAAACCATAATGGTTCTTTTAAAATTATATTACATGATTGATTATTTATATTTATTAGTGAAAGCATATGTGTATAGTCATTTTGGGTTAAATTATTGTTTCTTATTTTCAAAAAACCATTTTATGATATCCTAAAGTGTATTTGAATTCTTTCGCTTAGACTTAAATAGAAAATAAATAATTGTAAATAAAAATATTTTAAAACTAATCAATACTGTTGGAGTTATAAATTTAATTAAACAAATGTGTATTATTATTTATTATGAACTAGTTCAAAATATGTTTGAGCTTTTAATAACCTTAACTAAATCATCCATTTAGTAGTAAATCTAATAAATCATCATGATACATTTAAAGTTTTTACTATGATTTAATAATGAAAACTATAATAAATAATAAATCGGAAACTGGATAATCCATAGTAATTAAAAATTACCATAATTTATATATATTATTATTAATCAAATAACTATTTACTATATTTACCAACACATTACGTAAAATAACGTATATATTATATTGCTAAAATCTCAATCACATAACTGTAATAAAGACCTCATTATCAGTCAGTACAACCCTGCAAATTCACATCACAAGTACCTAAACTCCATTCCAAAAGAGTATTTACCAATTCTGCTCACCTTTTTCCCCACAGTCACTACCTATGACAATATGTAGGAAATGTGTGCTGCCGGGCGGAAACCGGTCTATATTCCGTTCCACGAGAGAAGGTATACGAGTCGCGCATCCGACTTCCGCCGGCAACAAAGCGGAGGCCAAATTTCCCCCACTTTTTACCACCCTGCGGCTAGCTAAATTGGGTGAATTGGTGAGAGATGCACATCGACGGACAAAAAAACGTGTATCTTCTCTCGTAGTCTCGTGGAACGGAGTATAGTACATTCTCTTGTAACAAAGTGTATACAAATTCTAAAATATTAAAATTATATTACTATTAGAGTTAATTCCTAAACTGTTTAAAATATAACTGTATACGTTTAGTTTTATTAAAAGTACTACTAAAAAGTGTTTGAGCCGTATTCAAATATAGTAAGACTTTGATAAGACCCAAACCCTGATAACATGGATAATTTCTTTGGTCAAAATTTAATTACATAATGTTTGTGAACTTTGTCAAGTCACAAACTACGTTAAGACTGAAAAACTAGACAATCCCAAGCGGTTCTGTCTGAACAAGATTTTACTGTACTATTAAATTAGTATTTGAGATACATTTTAAATACAATTTTTTTTTTTCATAAAACTTATATAGGAGTAACCTCAGTTAGTGGCTTCTGTGATAGCAATGAGTATGGTTAAGACTTTGCTGAAAAACTCCCCTGTCTCTGAAGTTGACTTTAGTATTTCAACAGTTGCCTTCCTTACATTTTTCTATAACTAAAAATAAAATAATACTGTAAAGCAATGTTTTGGCTGCCGCTGATCTTCAGTAACAAGAGCTGGCGAGTTCAAGAATACTGATTTAATCAATGGGTAATATGATCAAACCGGGAGAAAATCAGTTGCCGTCTGAGGTTCCTCTTATATAAGACAGCGTAGTACATTAAATAAACTCAGATACCGTTTTTTTATCACATATTTCCTAATTATTTAAATTTCAGTAAAGCTTTGTTTGAGTATTTTGACAACTAAGTTCAAATTATTTATAAAATATTAAAATAATAGTTAATAATTATTATTAATTATATATTTATATGAAAACTTGTTTGTATTATACGTGGCTATTTATTAGCCAACAATATCTAATATTTATTAACTAACAATTTATGTATTCAAATTTATAATAATTCTCATTTCTCAATATGCATACATTTAATTGATGCAAGTTTTATTATTTAAGATAAATATAAATTACTATGCATAATTTTACCATTTCATCAATTGTGTATCATATAAATTTTTGTTACATTTTAAAACCTTGTTCAAAATTAATATTATTAATATTATTTAGTAATTGTGGCATATTATAAAAAGATAAGATTTTTGGTGAGTCAATTTTTTCAACAATTCTAAGTAATTTAAGCAGAAAGATGAAAAAAGTATTTATTACCGTAGGTAAATTATTAAATTGTATAAACTATTGTAATATACACTTAAATATTTGTTGATTGATAGTGTCAAATACTTTAAAAAGTATTTAAATACTTATGCACCTCTGGGTCCTTATGCTTAATGTTTTTGTGGATCCTATTCAAATCCTTTACAGATGACATAAGTGTACCATATAAAATTTGTAACTAACATATTATTACAATTTATGTTTGTACCATAATATATTACAGTGGATTCCGCTTAATGTGGGTGTGTTGGGATCAGCCCTGTTTGCCCACATTAAGCGGATGCTCATATTAACCGGTGGCCACATTACGCGGAATCCACTGTATTTAATATTTGTATTTGATTGGGAGTTAAATGTTCATGCCCACTTAGATAAAGTGTGTGGTAAAGCATTAAAAACCTTACGTCTTATAAAAGTAATTTTTAATGAATTTAAACCAGAGACTCTTTTGACATCTATTTTGAGCTGTTGTGGGGGATCCTAATACCTCTCCCGGGATGAACCAAATTGAATGTGTTCAACAAAAGTTTCTTAACTTTTTTGAGTATAAGTTAAAAATTGATCACCCACTCCATGACTTATCTCTAATTATGTACTGTCTTAGCGTTAAGAGGACTTACAACTGGCATTTGTGGTCTCTGTCTTACAAGTGCATAACATAGTAAATTTACTCTCAGCTGATCACGTATAGCTTCGTTAGCTTAAAAATTAGAGAAAATCGACTTATTATAAAACTTGACAGTAAGAACATTATCTGTGTTTTTATGTTGCTTTTTTTACTATAAATTATTCAATGGGCAATTTTGTTGAATACAATTATAATATAATATAATAATTAAAAGTGAAAAGAAGGGGAGTTCTTGTTTGAAAAACAGAAGTTTGCAATGTCACAGGATCATCCTTATGCGATACTAAAAATCTCAAGTATTCAAAAATATGGTCTTCAAGTGTATTCCAAGGTTAAATCATAATTTGAATATATTATGTTTAATTTAAGCATAAAAATAGGGTTTGTATGCTTACAAAATCACCCCTGTATATATAAATGAACTGGTTCTGACTGACCGGTTCATCATCGCCTAGCCAAAACCACTAAAACTATGAGTATGAAATTTGGCCTGTAGTTTCGTTTAATAATGTAAAGACTCACTAGGAAAGAATTTTCCCAAATTGTAAAAATGGAAAATTGTTTTTCATGGTCTAATTTTTCAAACAAAAGTTATAACTCAAAAAACTACACACTGGCGAGTGCTAGTGTTAGTTCAGCTGGTATTTCATATTTTATTATATTTATATTATTAACTATTGTATATTAGTGTACCATACTACCATGACTTATAGTTACAGGTAGAGATGAGATTCTTGTACCTTGTATATTTTGACATTCCAATTTGTTAGTTGTATATAAATATTTTAATCTTTGGTAGGTCTTGTATATTTTTTATAAATTAAAAAAAAACAATAATTTATCTATTTGTCCAAGTTTTTTAATTTGCCTCATATTTCTTCTATATAGCTGATTGGTTAAATCATGGTATTGATTGTAAAATAGTTTTAAAGATTCCTTACATTATAGTACATTATTTCAAATTATTTTTGAATTTGTGGCATCAAAATCATCATATTGTCATTGAACGCAGATAATGATTTGAATGTTGGAAATTTAGGTGTATACAAGTTCGTAATAGTGTTGCAGGGGGGGGGGATTCGGTTCTGGTTCTGGAACTATTCTTTACCCAAATTAAGTAAATACTAAATAATGTTTAATTATTTTACATTTTAGCAATTTTATTTAGCGCAATAATTATTTTTAAAAAATCTATATTTTAGATACAGCATCTAAAGGTAAAAAAGTATAAGTATCTAACACAGTTAGAATAACTTAGTTTTATTCAAATTCATAAAATTAAAATAAACCAGTCATTTTTTATTTTTCCAAAATGCCAGAGGGTGTCTATTTCCATTATTTTAATTTATGTTCTTAGTTGAATTTAATTTTTTTGATTTATATATTGATGTAGTCTATGGTCTCTTGTTGCAAAACTATACCATGCCCAGCAAGAGAACTCCAATTACGCGCATCCTCGTGTGACACCCTGTCATCTAGACTGGTTCAGTGATTCCACTTTAGATTTCTGTCAATCAATTGTTAATAAGAGGGAGGCCTAATTGTAAACCAACATAGGCAAGGACCGACTTTTAAAAATAGCCCAAGGATATTGAATTTGGTCTTAGTTGAGATAGGGCTGGATTGGTTTGGTGACAGGTATAGCATTTTACGCTTGAAATTCTAAAATTCTTTGATGGCTTTTCCAAATGTTAGCATGATGTGAGCTGTGAACATAAGATTTCGATCAAAGATAATGCCAGAATTAATTGACAGTTTATTAAGAGCTGGTGGCTTATGAATCGTGTAGGGCCATTGAACATGAACATAACCATTTTTAATGTGTTAGTTCTAGGTCGCCTTCTAAAATTTCTCAATAGAAGCCATAGGAATCTCAGACGTTATTTCTGGATCCTCTGAAAATTGGTATGGTGGTGGTGGATCTGGGAATTCAGATGGTTGAATGTTTTGTGCAAAAATCATCCCATTTTCTTGATTGTGAAAATATGCATTGTGAGGCACAGTATATAGTTGGTTACTTGGAACTACCAGTTGAGCATTTCCAGGAATAGAAATTGGCTCATTAAAACCTACAGATGGAAAAGGATTTGTTGGAATTGGTTCGTTTGAAAAGTTACATTGATTCGATGGTTGAAAAGAATAATCAAATTGATGAGCATTGCTAATGCTAGCTATTGTCAATGGTGAAGTACCCAATTTTATTTTAATAGAAGCTACTTCATTTAAATGCGCACCCTTAACATGAGCTTCAACCTAGAAAAAAAAAATATATTAATTCAATTATTTTCCCTAAACAATAGTTATTCAGCGTACTAATTACATTTAGAAAATATTGATCGGTTATAATTTCACAATGTTTTAAATTGGGTATCGTCAAACCATTTGGAATTTGAAGTTGTTCCACACGTGTTTTTGAAATGTGTTTTTCAACCCCATCTATGTATATGTTTACAATCTTAGAGTGTTCATACTTAATTTTACTACTAGGGAACTCTGATTTAAATTCTAAAGTCTATAAAATACAAACAATTCTTAAAACCTATATATTTTATACAAGATATTAAAAAATTATTACTCTATCCAGCTTTATTTTAATAGTATCCACATCCACATTGCTGTTGTTATCCAATTCAACTGTAACGGGTATAAATTGTCCAGGTATAAAACCACTATAAGGGATATACGCAATCAATGTCATCGGGCCAGATTTACACAAACAGCAACAGTAAAACTTTTCTTTTAATGCTGTCTTGGGTTCCTAAAAGTTGGCACAATAGAATCATTTGTTTTTAGTATCCATCAATTTCTATGACACTCTTAGAAATATAAAAAAAGGACTACTATATAATAGCACAACGTATTTGATAAAATTGGTTGTTTTTTTTTGTGGGTCTTGAAATTATAAATTTCTGCTTTCACAACTAAGGCCATTAACAAAGTTGGTTTGGTTTTTAACTTATTTAATAATAATGTTTTAATATTTAAAAATATGTACATTTTAGGCTCTCCCAATAAAGGTCTGCCAGAATAATTACAAATTTACTTGCCATCCACAATAAAATTTTTACTAAATTCATTGATTTAATATGAAATAATTAATTGTGAAAATATCATGATTATATTGTTAAAAAACAAAAACTTATTTGTACTATAATAAAGTACTATTATTAATAATTCTGTTATAGATAAGCGGTTCACAGCCATTGTGTCTGGGTGACTCAAGATTTTGCCCAATTTTTCATGGAACCTTTTCAAAAATAATGTTCAACTACTCACCCTCCCTCAAAGACTTTATTTTATTCAATAACCATGACTAAAAGAAACTATTACTTTAATTTATTTATTTTTTCTCACATTAGTTGTACAAATAACTAGTCATATTATTTCTATTTTATTATTTTATTACATATCAACATTTTAATTTCTTGTTGACCCATTATTCAAAATTATTCGTGAACTGAAGGTTGAGAAACTCTGTTATAAATCATGTTTGTTGTGAAAATTTAAAACAAGGTTTCTCGTAAATTATTCATACTGTACCCAAATATCTAAAATAATATTTTATATTTCTATACATCATATATAATTGCAATTCTTTTTTATAGACATTTTAGTTCAAATTTAGAGGAAATCATATATTTAAACCAAGAATAACGAATTTAGTTATTTTGTTGTAATATAAAAATATTATTTGTGGACTCACGGGTATTTGAGACTTTTAGAGTACATAATTTTAAACACTTAATGACATTTTCAAGTGTAATGTTTTCTGGCCAAAATGAATTAGACCTACCGTAGTACTATAGCCTAATAGTAAAATAAATTACTTCTTCAGTAGTGAAAAGATTAATCATAATGGTGCGGATATCCCAACTATAGTAGACTATATTACAGTACTCTCGTATTTATAATTAGGCAGTACATTAAACAGTGGCAGACCAAATTGTGGGAGATAGCAGTTTCATGTTTAGGTACTTGATCGTCAAATAAAAATAACATTATGCTTTACAAGTGGACCCCAGGAATGACACAGATGTATATTAATTGGAAATTATTTTTACATTATTATGTGTAATTTCAGAATAAAAATATTATACTTGCAGCTAATGATGGTTCATCGTTTAAATGTATAGGAGAAATAATTTGGAACATCATTACTTTCTGTATATTTGTTCTCCAAGGTATATTAATTTTGACTATTGCTGTATAATGTACACTTCCATGAACACTTTCAAATGTTGATGGTAATTCATGTGGTAAAGAAAAATTAAATGGATACACATATTCACCAACTTCTAATCGCGAATCACCTAAAAAATAATGATTAAGTATTAACTTTTAAATATAAAAATGTAGATTAAGCCCCTAGTTTAACTTATACCAAATTATTACGTTATCAATAGTAAAAAACTGATGGTGTAAGTATATAATATGCCAAAGGTGGCAAACCTATGACACTCGTCCTCAATATTACGCATTGTCGTGTTAGGATGAAGGCATGCAAAAACATATTTATTTCATTTTATAAATATAAACACTAATTATAGCATTTTGAAAGCTTGGAACTCTTCTAATGATTATATAAAAACTTCCTTGAATACTTTATGTTTGTAAATCTTTCTAACAAATGTCAACAACAATAACTCCTTGATTAGACAGAAAAAAATATTTGTAATATGAACATATTATTACTGGCATGTAAAATTATTTTTTACAGAATTTTGTTAGTAGCGCACCCTCAGAATAAAATCCCACTCAGGGCATATTTAAGAATTACTTACAATCTAATAATAGTTATGTTATATCGATATTAAAATAATACGTAATTAAAAATTCCTAGAGAAGAAATGGCCCCTTAGTCCCCCGTTCGCTCTTTTGTTGAGCACCTACACCGAATAAAAGGTTCGCCACCTCTCGTATAGGTACTAAACTAGTATAGTTGTTATAAAAATATAAATTAATAATAATACAAATCATTTCTATATTCTCACCTTCTGCACCTACCAGAAAAAATTTATTTTTAAAATATTCTTCTCTTGCAGAGTAACTAACTGAATGATCTTCGCTTTCACTATTACTACCAGTCCGAGATTCGGTTTCAGTCCAACTGACTTTAGCTTCTCCTCGGAATTTCAATTTTATATCTATAAAAACATCCATCAATGGTCACTATACATATAATATATATAATCTATTAATCTACACAAACTACCTAATAAATAAATCACTTACTTTTGATTTTCACTGAACTACTAATCACAATTAAAACTCGTCCAGTAATGGTTTGGCCTGGCGTAAATACTGCTGTTGGATCATCAAAAATTATCTGTACATTTTGTACACCCATTGTAATTTCAAAGAGGTATTTTATATATTCTGTGAAAGACAACTGTCAACTGATGACAATATTCAATTAACTGTGATCTAAATTAAAATACAAATAATAATTTGGTAATTAGAAATGTGAATCATCCACCCAAGACTGACAATACTTTATCTTATCAACTATTAAAGCACTTAGATTTTTAGGCTTTGCCAAGTGTATTTGCATTGGTTTTAAGTTATCTGCTCTTTTACATCTCTCCGTTGTTCAATTGTTTGTTCCGTCTTGGAGTATAGTACAGTAGTCTGGGATTATATCACTAATGTCTAATATTGACAAATGTTAGCTCAAATGTGTCCAGTAGAAATAAATCCCTGAAGTTCAGTGTTCCTGTTTTGAGAATTGAATGTCTATCACATGATACTTCCTGTTATTTATGTTCTATACATAAAATAATTAAATAGATAAGAGGTTGATGGAAACCTTGTCTTCTTGTCTTTAATTACTAATTCCGATATAGATGCTCCAATATTATTTTATATTATTTATATCATATACATTTCCTTGTCCCTTTTTGGGTACTTTGTCATTTCCGTTAATTTTCCATTTCTATTTGTCCTACACATAACTCATTATCTAAAAAAAACAATTGACATAGGATGTTGATGCTGGCCAATGAAGACCCATCATATCTCGTTTGATTTTGTTATTATTTATTATTTCTATTATAATTTATAAGTGTTGTTAATATCACTATAATTGTATTATTTCAATGTAAATTTCTTACTATTTTTTTTTTGTTAAATTTTATTTTGTCTATTTAGCTCTAACATTTGGATTTGGGAATAATCGGTACAATATAACATACATATAAAAAAAAACTTTTTAAATTCACTGGTAAATAATTATTATGACATTTTGATGTGGTGACTATAGTGACTATCTACTAAATATTTTTGGAACATAGTGTAAATCAACCCCTGATCAGTGGTGTTCTACTGTCCTCTGGAAATTGTTAAATGTTAAAAACACTTAAGTTTTTGACCCAGTTTTCATGTGTACCTACTTATTCAATAAAAAAATCTGTGACTTGTTTATACATGATGATTAAACATCCTGAAAGTCTGAAAAAAAGGCTTCATAATAGTTACATGATATTAGCACTCTCTACATTTCATCTCTGATTGCACTATTTATATACTTTATAGATAAATTAAATAAACAAATAAAGAACAAAGTATAGATTTATTTTTTAATAGGAAGTGTCAAAAAAGTCATAAGTTAGTTATTTGAAAGTAACCATATAAACTCACCAATACAACTAATTGATTCATAATCAACTTCCTTATTTAAACAATTATAGATACAAATGTAATTTCAAATTTTGATTTAGATCACAATATCTAATATAAACACCACTTATCATATTTAAAGTATGTTTTTAATTTTTCTTAAAAACTTTTCTGATTTCAAAAAGTATTTAGTAACTACAGTTGGAAGGCAGACAAACTTTAAGTACAGTCCTTGCAGCAATGGCTGCAAAATAAGCTTATATTATTTTATATACCTAGTAACATTACCCGATAACCAAAGCTATGTAAAATTTAATTAATATTAAATAGGAATCTCTTAGATTTGAAATATTCAAAATAATCAAAAAACAAAATACCTTTTTTATGTGACTATAACTTTTAATAATATAAGATACAGTTACATGTCACACTTTTTATGGCATTTGCAATTTGCTGATTAATATTTGAACAGGTATTTTTTTCATGAAAGAATCTTATCTAGACTATTAACATAAACAAATATTTACACATAACATAATATTATGTATCTCTAACTCTAATACATAGTAAGAGTATGGTTTATGATATCACTATCGTCTATCTTTCAACATATTAAACAGTTAAAATGCAGTTAGGGACCTTAATAAAAATTAATAATAACAAAACATATACAAATATTAAAAGCTAATATTAAACATTTTAAACTAAGATATTGATTTTATAACGTCATATAAATGTAAAGTGCAAATAGTTTGAGATAACCGCTAGATGCTAGATATTAACAACTTCAATAATGGCAAATATATAGATAATAGGCACAATAAATGAAGAGCTTTGTGGTAATATAATTCTATATATTATTTATAAGTTATAAAATGTATAGTTAAAAAAATAAATATAATATTATGGAGGAATTACAACAGTGTATCATATTATTGTATTATTTCAAATATTACATTCAAATAATTAATACCTACTTACAAAATTTAGGATATTGAAGGAACTATATTATATTTTTACAAAATCAAAAAATGAATAGAGGATCATTATAATAATTGTATTCAATGTTCTTTGTATTAAATTTCTTAAAAACCATTAATAATGTTACACCATGATGTTATCTTTGTGTCATATTTTTCTTTACAATTTTTCTTAAATATTTAAACTTAAGTATCTATAAAAAAACTTAAAATTTCATTAAATTGTTTATTTTGTTAAATTTGTTTCGTACATGATATCTTATGTTTAATATGAATATTGTATACAACTATACATGAATATTATGGAAGCCCATCGTTAGGTATTCTGTGCCCTAAAGCAAAAATTTTAACGCCGCTCTCGTTTACTGATATTTATTAAATTTTGCTGCCTTCAAATTTTTTCAAATTGTAAGCCACCCTAAAGCAACAATGACTTTCTTGTACCCTAGCTATGGGCCTGATACCATGAATAATTTACTTTAATTTAGTTTGAGCAAAGTTGATTTAAATTTAATAGGTTGTTAGATAATATGGTAGTTGAGTAAATTGGTTCTATAAATCAAATGGTTTAATATTTTTTTATGGTTGTAGATAGATTATCATAAATGTTCTACCTGGATTTAACTAAACAGATTATGTACTAATAGATGCTACTTGTATATCAGTTGCTATTTCTGAAAATTGGTACGGTGGTGGTGGATCTGGGTATGGAGATAATTTAATATCCAATGTACTGTTTTGTGCAAGAATCGTTCCATTTTCTAAATTATTGTGTGGCACAGAACATAATTGGTTACTTGGAACTACTAGTTGAGCATATCCAGGAACCAAAATAGGCTCGGTAACATCTACAGACGGAAGATGATTTGTTGGAATTTGTTCGCTTGAAAAATAACTATGATTCGATGGTTGAAAAGAATAATTGAATTGATGAGCATTGGTAGGTATTGACAATGGTATATCACCCAATATTAAGTTAACAGAAATTACTTCATTTATATATCCGCCATTAACACAAGCCTCAACCTAAGACAACAAAAAACATATTAAATTTAATTATTCTCATAAAACAATATTATGTAATATGTGATGTAATTACATGTAGAGAATATGTATCAGTTATAATTCCACAATATTTTAAATTTGGAATTATCAAACTACTTGGAATTTGAATTTGTTCCACGTGGGTTTTCGAAGAGTGTTTTTCAACGCCATCTATACACACATTAACAATCTTAAATGCTTTACATTTTATTTTACTACTTGGGAATCGTGCTTTAAATTTCAGTACCTATATAATAGAACACAATATTCTTAAAATCAATAATTATTACCTTATCTAATATTATATTATGAGAAAACTATTACTCTTTCCAGTATTATTATAATAGAATCTACATCCACATTGCTGTTGTTATCCAGTTCAACTGTAACTGGTATAGATTGTCCTGGAACAAAACCAGTATAAGGTACATAGACAATCATTGTCATCGGTCCAGACTTGCAACAACAGCAACAGTAAAACTTCTCTCTTTCTAGTATTTTAGGTTCCTAAAAGTATAATTTTAAAAGTTGCATTAAAAAAAAATGTCTAATCAAACTTGATAGTTATTGATGACATTTTATTATTTGATTTATTGCTGCATTATTGCATTCAAATTAGTTTTGCTTTAGTATTTTTTATATTTTTATATACTTATGTAAGTTGCTAATATTTGTGTATAATATATTGAGTATATAGGTACTGTACTATACTCAATTATGTATACCTATTGTATTTACTCAATGAAGGTATAATATATAAATTATAAGGAATTATTTTACCATGTTTTTATTTACAAGTATTCAAGCTTATGCGTACAAATTACAAATACATGTTGTGTATGGTATTTATGAAAGAATCAACACACAGCTCAATCCAATGGATCTAAAACTTTGAAATTTATCAAAGAGAACAATAATATAGACGAGCTCTAAAGAGAGAATTTTCGGAAATTCAACATTAAAAATTAGAAATTAGGTTTCAAAGTTAGTATTCTCATGACAAGTCTAGAACAACTTATCTAATTGTCAAGCATTTTAAATTTATTGAACACAGAACCTATAGATTAGGTTTTAAGCATACCTAATTGTACCAATCCAACTAATGTTCCTAAAAAATCGCTAGGTAAAATTTGACTTTTAAATAACATTGTCTGCATTATCAATGACTTGACCATGTAAAAAAACCCTGTTGTTCATTTTCCCGTGTGGAGGAAACCTAAACTGATTTGTTCAAGAAGTCGTGAAGTTATTGGATCGATATACATTAAGCTCTGGTGGATCGCACATCTCGGTCAGATTTGTCCACAATGTGAGGTACTTATATGGCAGCTATTATATGGATTGAGGTAAAATCAACCAAAATATACAGAGCCATATTTAACATTTGCATAATTTGGCTTAAGTCTATATAGTTTACCACACCCTTCGAGAAATTTTTTTTAAAAATGTTGGAACTAACGTATTTCATTTAGTTAAGAACAATGGTGCCAGGAGAAATTTAATTTAATTTAAATGTATTTAATTTTCCAAAATTAATTAGGAGCCTGTATATTTTTTTTTAACTTACTTAAATTAGGAAAGACTTCTATATAACAATAAGAATTAAGAGTTAAATTGAAGAAGGGTCGACAGTCGTAATTGGGGCCCAGATCATAAATACGAATGGGGACCTTCAGTGCTACTTGATTTATAGCACCCTGGGCCAGTGTGCCCCTTTATGGTACATTAGACAATTAGACATTATTGCTCAGAGTTTATTTTAAAGTTAGGAACAGATACAAAATTGGATAATTTATATCTGTAGATAAGGCTTACAAACCAAATGCCAATCCCCAATAGCCATTTTTAATTTATAATATTTATCAACCGCGAAAATCCATCCATAAATAAGTGATCCATTTCCACCCACCTTATCTTTCTCTCTTTATTTCAACCCAAAATCTCGAGTCCTAGCAACTTTATCTGATTGCACCATCGTTTGTAACTTGGTGAAAAATAAAGTTCCAGCAATAAATTTTTAATTTCTTGAGGATATGGTTAAACTAAACTTTAGTTCCAATATTACAGATATTGTGTTCAATATTTGAAAATATAATAATAAATATGTCTCAACCAATACTTACGGCTAAGGATGGTTCATCATTCAAATCTAAGGCAGAAATTACTTCAAATACAATTTCTTTACCTTTCTTAATATCCCAAGGTACATTAACTACTACTTTAGCTGTATATTGTATGCGCCCGTACTCTTCTTCAAATGTTGATGGTAAGTTATCTGGTAAGGTAACACTAAATGGATAAACATGTTCCCCTTCTTTTAAAAGTAATCTTCCTAAAACATATAATTTTTTTTTAGATTGAAAATAAACTAAATTTTATGTTTTACTTAACTACATACTTATTTTATTTATAACATTTATAAATGCTAAGGTCCGAGTAAAAAGCAAAAAATATCAATTTATATAACATTTTGTTTTGGGTATCCTTTATTATTAACTTATTATTTAAAAAAATAGTGTGTAGTTATAATTTCTATAACAGAGAAAGAAACCAAAATGTATGGTTTTAAGAGAAAAATATACAAAAACACTGAAGTATACTATGTTTGTTGCTTATTAACCTTTTATTGCGACATTGGGGATGAATTGTTCAAACAAAATATTGATCCATATAATATATATAGTGAAATATTTAATATTAAACCTACTGGATTTAATTAAAAACTCACCTTCCCCACCAGCCAATATTATTTTGAGATTAAAATATTCTTCTTTTGCAGTATATCTTTCAGTTTTAGTCTTATTATGTGTAAGACTATGCCTTCTACTTCCATTCTTACTATTTCTTCGGGTCATAAGATTATGTTCTCTCCAAAACACATTACCTTCTCCTCTAAATTTTAATTTCACTTCTGAAACATAATACCATTTTTATTTTATACACTTAGTTATTAAGTATTTATTATACCTACTTTTTATTTTAACTGAATTGCTAACAACAATTAGAACTCTGCCAGTAATTATTTCACCAGGGACGAAAACTGCTGTTGGATTATCAAATATAATTTGTAAATTGTTCAAACCCATATTGCTTTAGTTAAAACTATTATAGTGAATTTTTAAATATTGCATTGAAACTGAATAACTAAAATGAACTAATAAATAAACTTATCATTTCTAATTTTTGTTATACTCTTATACTGAATAGTTGTTGACAGTTGAAGAAATAATAGGCTACAAAGTTTATTAATTTATATAATAATATAACATTTGGATAACTAATTCTTAAGCAAGTATGACAAATTCCAAGAAAAAAAATATATATACCTACCTACTTATTTGCCATGCACTTCACAAGCTTTAGATAAGAATATGGTTTTTTTATTAATTTACAAAGGATAGAACATTTAGTAAAACTTTTACAGTAAACCATTATTTCTAAATAGTAAATAATATACTATAGAATGGTTAAAAACAAAAATAATGAAATAAATTTGTTGTTTTGTAAATTGTTATCAATAAATACTAAGTATTACAAATTAATTACCTGGTTATTCAATATTTAATACTTATTTTACTTTATGCCTTATGGTATGATATACAAATGAATGGCCTACTGCATTAACCTTGTAAACAATTTAAAAAATTTAAATATTTTATTAGTTCATTTTCTCTTGTAGTAAGCACCTACCTAATACTTACTGTAAATTATTATGTAGTATCTACAATACCACAATATCAGTTTATTCATCAAATATTGTATAAAATCTATCATGAATTAGTTTAAATACATGCAACCCTAACATTTAATATTATCCTTATTTTTTTCAGTCTAATATTTGTTAGTGAAGCTTTAGAAAACTAGGTTTACATTTGATTTCAAAATGGAAACCTATATTTTTAATTACATTATTACATAAACTATATATTTGTTTGTATGAATATTAAATTAAGAGTTTTTATTTATAAGCATTTGAAGTTTAGTGATTACCGGTACCCCTTATAATTTTAGATGCATTGTCCTCCTGGTCGTGAATCATTAATCATTATTAGAATGTGGATTTGTATGCATTTGCATATTTATTCTGGTTATTCCGTGTTCGTATGATAATCTAAGTGAGCTTAACATTTTTGTCATGACGACGATTAAAAAACGAAACTTTTTTAGCTCATATTTTTGCATATTTCGCTATTTTTCTATTTTAAGAGGTTATTTTACAATTTCAATTGTATATTAATTCATTCATCTTTTGGTGCATATTTTGATGGTTTTTTAGACATTTTTGAAATATATGGTATTGTGATATAAAAAAAAAATATTATAATTTAATTTTTTTGATTAATATCAAAATAAATTAATAGGTATACACTTGTAGGTATGTATGGTTTCCCCAAATATGACCTTAGATCAATAATCGGGGGATAATATGTTTACCAAAATAAGAAAATATAGATTACAACTATGATTGACCATTGACGTTTTATTGACATTAAATTTTTTTCACTAATTATTTTATGCATATTTCAACATTTTAGTGCATATTTAAGATTTTTTAGCACATATTTGGTTAAATTTAATGCATACAAATCCGTGCTCAAAACATTATGAACAACGGTATTTTTATATATTTTGTTGATAATTTCTTTAGTTATGCAAAACTGAATCAATGATTAAATAATAAAATATTTGAAAATATATTATATTTGAGAATATATTATATCTATAACACTTTTTGTAAGGTGAATGCAGCAATGAAACTTCATAATTTAATTGATTTCTAAGAACATTATCTAAGGCACTCATGAGATATTATCGATATCTTAACTTTAAAATATTCATAACTCACTTTAAAACTAAAATATCAACAAAGGCCTATAGGCTATGAGGTGCGCTACTAGATGTTTTAAGTTTGAGTAATCTTCTTTACATTGTATAAGTTTGATAATAGATCAGTTCACTCTAATATTGAAGCTATAAACACAATATTTGATCCACTGAATGAAGTTAATGAAGCATAATATGAATTGAGTATATATTGGTAGTGGAGTCTTGATAACTCAAATTTATCTTGGCCCTTGAAGTGTTTTTAAATTGTGTTTTAGGTATATAACTCAAAAAATACATAAGTTTATTTTTATTCACCTTGAGATTTGAGTTATCGAGCCTAGACTGTAACTCTTTCCTCTTGAATATCTACATAAATTCAGTGGAGTGGCAAACAAAATAATTTTCAGAGGCAAATATATTTTATGATGACCACCCACCTACGAGCCCATGACCTATTATTGAACACTGACCACTAGGTTCTTATCTCTCTCTTAAAAATTGTACTATAAAATACATTACATTTATGGAGTATGGGGAAGTTGCTTCTCTCAGGAAATTTAAAAACAATATTATAAGATTAATCCTAAAAAAACTGACAGGCCGCCTCTTGACTAACCCCTTCGCCACGTCACTGTACATAATAATCACTTTCCTCAAAAATATCAAATTATTTTGTAGTTAGTATACATCAGAAAATAAACTTAGTTTTTCTTGTAATATATTTGGTTTAATTTCTAATTTTTAACAATTGTAACATTTTTACAACAAAATAACAATTTTCACATATAAAATCTAGTATAAAACACTTAGAATTAAATATATAATTTAAATTATAACAAATATTGATTTTTAAAAACTATTAAGTATAGAATATAATAAGATAGTACAAAAAAGTTAGTAACTATGTCAGAGTATTGATTAATACTGCTAATAAATGTCTTTGTTCTGATGTTAAATGAGGAGTAAAATCAGATTCAATTGTACCTAAACAGGTTGTTTCACCAAGTTGATATGCTTTAACCAAAGATCGAAGAAGACGGAACATTATATCTGATATATAAGGAACTAAAATAATAATAATGTGAAACATCATATTAAATGTACAATAACTGTATAATAAATAATAATCATATTAGTATAAAACTTACCAGGAGAATCAAAATTCCCATTAATCCACATGTATTTCTCTAGTACTGAAGCTAAATCGCTAGGCATTTTTTGGCGAGTGGGTTTCAGTATAAGCAGTAAGAATACTCGTGATATTTCACATCTGACATTTATATTTAAAAAAAATTAGTTTAAATCTTAAATGAAAATTAAATTAAATATTTACCTGAATAAAATATCATTATAAATGCCAATGGTTTCATTGTCTATGCAAGAAATAGTATTTGCTATTTCTGTGAATGTTAACAGAGCACCTTCATAATCTTCTACAAAAAGTTACGTGTGCATGAATTACAGTACAATACACCCAATTTAAAATAATACAATAATAAAAAAACGAATAAAAATACCGGAAAGAATTTGAACGGAAGTTATTTGTTCAAGAATAGCCAATTTAAGTGTATGACTTTCATGAGGCACATCAATCATACTGCTTCCAATAAAAGCTGCATCATCTAATTTACCTAAAGATACAAGAGTTTCAGCCGTTTCTAGGCGAATAGAAGTTTTCAAAATATTTTCAAACGAGTTCCCTTGCCAACTATCCTCAGCATGTCGCATTTCACTTAGCCCAGCCTAAAATATTAAAAATACTATAAATAATGTAGCTATAAATTATATAAGAACTCATGTTTTGTGTGTAAATATCTTACTTGTAAATTTTCATTGTAAGGAGATATTAAACCGGATGATTCAGTCTTCTTATGTTCTGAAAAAAACTGGCGAGCTGCTTTCTGATGAGCAAGAGCTTGTTCGCAGCTGTGACCCATCGAGTCTTCACATTTAGCTACAGCTTGCCAACACAGAGCAGCATAATCATGTTTATCATTTTTTTGACAAAAATTTGCTAGTTTAGCTAAAATATTAAATTAAAAATTTCAAAAATATTGAAAATATTCCTCAATAAGTAATAGAATACTAAATGTAAGTAATCTTACCGAATTGGTCACTAGGTTCCAATGTATTTATCTTTCTAAATAGTTTTCTAAAAAATATAAATGTGACATTTTTAAAGAATAAAAATGGGAAAATATATTATAAATAAAACCATAATGTATTACTTTTTTGTTTTATTTAGTATAATCTTATAATGGTAAATTATCTCTTCTGGATTATTGAAACTAGCCATTTTAGTAAGCAAATAACTATTTACCTAATTAAAATTATACAATTTAACAATCAATGAATTTTTACGATGATAATTATACAGTAATTGACAGTTTATATAGTACCTATTTGATGTACAACTTTTAAATAATTTAATAGGTATTAGGTAACATACCTATTACTTCATTAAAATTATTCTTTACTAAGGGTAGACAACTGACGAATAGTGAGTAAATACTAAATAGACAATCAAGTAGATAAAAAGCTTTAACTGTAAACAATAAAACTGATAATATTTCATCATTTTGTTATCAAACTTAAATATTTGTGTGTTTATATGAAATCAGCTGTTGTAATGTCTAACTTGCATATTGGCCGGTCACGGACTACTCAACGAGACGTGTACTACAGATTTATGAGATTAATTATGTGTACTATAATACAGACAGAGACGGCGAGATTTTTTAATCTCTTTACTATGAGTCAACCACACTACCACAGTCGGACGTCAGTATAGTGTAGTATTAATAGTATTGACTATTTATCTATATTATATTATTATTTATTATCTAATATCTATGACCATTGACCACAGTTCACAAATATATTATTTGTGTACTATTACTTATTATATTAATATATTTTATGCCAATGGCTACTGACTACACGTTACGTAAATAGTGAATAATAAACCAAAACTAATGTCATAAGCATAAATCAAGTAACAAGTGTCTCAAATATGGTTGACACCCTTCACTTTATGTTTGAAATTAATGATGAAATAATTTATTTCATGTGGAAATGTTGGAATAGTAGTTAACAGTGTTTACCTCTCAACGACTTTCTAATCAGCTATTTGGTTTGGAGCGTATAACGATCATTGGTTCATATTATAATACATTATTTTAATGAACCATTTAGGTAAAATTAACTGATACATAAGGAAGAAAGATAATATTATACCATTAATGAGAATAATTCTTGTTATTTATAATTCTTATAATCAAACTGTTATTCATCAGTTCACTGCATTCAGTACATTCTAGCTATTGCAAGGAATTAAATAGGTCATTTTTCCGAAGTAAAAAAACATTGTTTTTTTAGTGTTGAGTATAATTTGAGTCATTTATCTACAATACAGAACTAAACATTTTATAACAAATTTCAGGTATCTATATAATATATTAATTAATATGGCCGAAAAGGGAAAAATTGGAATCATTGGAAGGTAAAGGCAAAGATTACATATTATATTATATAATATTTAAGTTTTTATTATAAATATTATTTTTAACCTACTTCACTCATTTTATTTAACTATATTTATTTTATTCAACAACAATAATTTTAAATCATGATATCTAGAATAGAAGTATGATACATTGTTGTGGATAAGTCAAGTTAAATATTTTAAAGAAATTATGTATAATATTTAATGTATACCTAATAATATATTGTGTCCATTCACATCAATCACTTTTCATTTTCTCAAATTGTTTTCTATTCGATTTTCAATATGACAATATGTTATAATAACCAAGTTTCATGAATAAGATTGAAAAATGTGTTAAACAAGGTGTAACAATTTTGTTTTTCTGTTGCTGACATAATTTTATACTTCCTAATCAAAAAATAAAACTAATACGGGTGCAATACTTTATATTATGCATGAAAAATAATTAAAATATTTTGAATAATATAGACTTTATTTTAATGCTGTCATATAAAGTAAGGTGTATAGTAGGAATATGAAGAGTGCATGATAACATGTATTGTAAGATGATATATTTAATGAGAAACATAAATATCTATTAGGCGTATCCCTAACCAGGCACGCCCGGAGGGGGGGCCAGGTGGTGCAAATGCACCACCTGAGAATTTTAATAATTTGGATTTTTCAAATAAATAATAAAATATAAAAATTCCTTCTCTGTAAATTTTTAATTTATGCCCATGATTATTCCCAATATAGTAAATATTAAATACTTATTAGCTATTCTGGCATCTGGCTATTCTGAGATACCACCGTCTGCCGCATTTTAGTACTGTGTACAGTCACGTCTAACCACGCGTCTATTATTAATACATTTATTTTGGTCATTAATAATATTTTTATGAATTTCATTATCTGACATCTATTCTGTGGTACACTATTATTTATATATATATATATATATATATGTATGTGTGTGTTATACATCTAAAATTCTATCTAATTTTTATATTTTATAAGAAGTAATAAATAAAATGAGTTATGTTTTAAATATATTTTGTTATACCCATTATTGATGATAAATAATATATGTCATGTAATAAGTGTTATGGGGTGTGGGGGGCAAAGCCCCCCATATCTTATATTGATATTAAAAATATTTTGCACCTAGTGAGCTACATCTCTACGGGCGTGCCTGTCCCTAACATAATTATATAAAATTGTTTTCAATTTTCAGTGGTCTAATAGGACAGAGCTGGGCTATGTTATTTGCAAGTGCTCGTTATAATGTTACAATCTATGACATTAACTTAGAGCTAGTGAATTTGGCCTGCGAAAAAATTAAATCAGAATTAAAAACAATGGAAAAAAATGGAATTCTAAGGGGCATTATTACTGCTGAACAACAAATTGAACTTATTAAAGGTACCAGATAAATTGTATTGATTTAATATGTTATGCATTTAATAATAATTATACCAATATTGAAAGTACAAATGTACAAACAATTTATAGACACTAAACAAATTAATGAAGGTAGTAATTAGTAATATTTAAAATGTAAATGTTAATTTTTATTTGAAAATTAGCTAGTGAAATTATGCAAGGTAAGCATTCAAACAATGTTAATTAAATTATTCATAAGCAAACATTTAAATTTAAATAATGTGACTTCCCTCCTTCACCATGAAACATTTCAGAAACCGCTACAGTCTTTTTTCTTAAACAGGTGTAACTAAATTGGAAGAAGTCGTAGAAGGTACAATTCTTATTCAAGAATGTATACCAGAAGTATTACCTTTAAAACAACAGTTGTATGACCAAATAGATAAAATTGTTGGTCCTCAAACTATTATTTCCAGTTCAACTTCTACATTCTTGCCATCAATTCTTTCTGAAAAAATGGAACATCGTAATCAGTTAATTGTTTCACACCCAGTATGTAAAATCTATATTATTTTAATCTTAAATAAAAGTTAACATATTGTGTATTTTTAAAGGTTAATCCTCCATATTTTGTGCCACTCGTAGAAATTGTACCGTCTGAATGGACTGAAGATTGGGTAGTTAAGAAAACAAGAGCAATTATGGAAGAAATCAAACAATCCCCTGTAACTCTTGCTAAAGAAGTACCTGGGTTTGCTTTGAACCGCATTCAGTTAAGAACTTAATTAAAAATGTACAAAAATGTTATTGAAATTATAACTTACTAATTGAATAGGTATGCTATATTGAATGAATGTTGGCATCTAGTAAATGATGGAGTACTTAATGTGAAAGATGTTGATACAGTCATGTCTGAAGGTCTAGGTATGCGTTATGCATTTCTCGGTCCACTAGAAACTGCTCATTTAAATGCTGAAGGTATGTTATGTTTATTTTATTTTATAAATGAACAATCTATATTGTATATTGATGACAGATCTTTAAATTATTTCACATAGGTACTCATTACTTACAAATTTGTCACTAATTAGTGTATTATAATATGTTATCCTAAACCTATTAATAACTTAGCATTAGCTTACTTTTTTTATACAATTTATTTTATTATGTTTTTATAATATTTGTTAAAAATTAATTTTAGGTTTTGTGAACTATACGGAGCGTTATTCAAACTCAATGTATGGTGTATGCCAACAATTCAAGCCATCACCTAAGTTTGAAGGGCCATTGGTAAAAGAAATCGGAGATCAATTAAATGCCAATACTCCGTTGGAAGACCTCCCAAAACGTAGATTATGGAGAGATCAATCTTTGATCAAATTGTCACAACTTAAAAAATATAATAATTATTAATATACATATTATATTATTAGTTAGATGCTTTCATAAAGTTCTGGTATAGGCACATCACAATTTATAGTATTACAATATTACGTAAGTAACCGAAAATCAATATCCATTAATAATTGTGAAATTAATAGAAATAAATATTTACATAATATTATATAAATTACTGACAGAGGATATATTTTTGTAATAAAAAAAAATAGTTGTATATATATATTAATTATATTGTTCATTTGATGCTAGGCAGTGTTCTGAGTAGGTTATATTATAATGTTAAGTACTTGTTACCATCTCTGTTAAGGTTATCATGTATTTATTATCATTTTATTTATTACCTACTAATAATGAATGCTATATTTGTTTTATTGGTCATTAATGCTGGTACAATAGTATATTCTACTATTGTTGAATACTTCCGTAGTTCCGTCCCCCGTAAATGTTATGTATTATTATGCACTTATTCATATAATAAGTTATTTTGTGATGCTAGGGCAGTAGGGCGTTAAAAAAGATTCTTGGCTACCCAAAAATAAAAATAAAAGAACGCCTTAAAATGCATACATAGGAAATACAACACGCGAAAACTACCGAGTATAATAATTTCGGGAAGCAACACTATTTATGTAAACAATTAAAATGTATAATATTATATTCTTATTCAAAAATTGAAAAACTTAGATATTATAATTTATAATAGGTAATTAATAGTTATGTAGCCATGTAGGTAGTTACCTAGATGATTAGCTATTATTTATATTGAGTATAAGCACTTAGGCCAATATACTGAATACCTAGTATATGCAAGTAGTAAAGGTAGTTGTAGGGAGTGTGTCGATAATTCTAATATTAAAAATCTATTAGTTAAACTCATTAGGTAAGTAGGTGTCTACCTCCTATTTTCTAATGTATATCTAATAGTTTAAAGTTTTATTATTTTATAATCTTAATGTTGACGTATGGTCGACCTATTGGAGTTTAAACAGTTATCACACAAAACTGAACACAGTTCCTATATTATTATACACAGCTAGGTGACCCCGTGCACTTTGTTTAAAATGCCAATTCTATATGATTCAAACTGTGTTCGATTGGTTATTTAATATTCAGTGAAATGTTGTTCAAAACTTAAAAATAAAAGATTTAATTTTTAACACATTAGTCTTAACATTATAGCACATTTATTTGTAGCCTTGTTATATTGGCCCTGACTTTTTTAAAATCTATTAATGACTGATAGTTTTTAAAAAACATTGTTTTTAAATTATTTACTACCTTTAAAATATATAGAAATAAACCGTTTCCTATCAATTTATTCCATCTTAATCTCCATCAAAGATTTTTAAAACAGTAATTTTGATGAGTTTGACCAAATATAAAATACCTACAAGTCTATAATTATATTCAATCATAAAAACTATTTTATTTTCTGTCTGTAACTAATAGCAAGTAGCAATCCTATAATAAACAAAAATATATTATTTTTTCGTGAACTAAATATCAATTTCCGGTATTCTTTTTTATTTTCATAAGGATCTATAATTTTTTTTTAATAAAATACAGTCTATGTTAGTTTTACAGTCTTTACCTTTATATAGAGGGAATAATTTTTAAAATCGTTTAAGTAGTTTCTGAGTTTATCCATTACTTACAACCAAACAAACAATTTTACCTCTTTATAATATTAGTATATGTAGATTAGTGTTGTATAGATATAGGTAATTGACGAATTTACTTACTACTATAAAGACATGATAGAAATAACTTATTTCTATCATGTATAAAGACAAGTAGTGTTTTATCTTTTATTCGTGTAAAAAAATACACACGATCGTCGCCTGTCTTATTAAAATTGCTTGTTGCGCATATTATAATGTTATAATAATTATTAATCAATGATATAGGTACCTACTTAGGGAACCATATTTATATAAAAAAAACTGTTATAAATCTACACCATGTTTCACGGATTTATATTATAATTTAATATTTAGAATACATATATATATTTCATTACATAATATGTCTGTGTCGTGGTTTAACTATTTATTAACATATAACAACAATTATAACAAACTAGAATGAATAACGAAGGATGACGAATAGTTAAACTTAAGCCAACTGAGGAATGCGGACAGTCTACTAATAAGTATAATAGGTTATAGGTAACTAATAAGTAATAATAATCAAATATGTGGTACGTGGTGATTATTTAGAATATCTTCTGTAGTGCAACGATGATGGCAACTCAATCATAACAAGTGTTTTTATTTATAATTGGTAAATTAGCTATATTATAGGTACTTGATTTGGATGGTTTAAGTGATTTACCTAGCTCTACCTGCAAACCCAAAAGCCTATTACGGCTTACTACAATTTATTATTATCGTAGTGTGCGACAGTATTACATTACAGTAGAGGACAACATTTAAATAATAATGTAGTTAATACTTTAGTATTTAATATACCTATTGGCTATTACCTAAATGTACTCTGTTCCAAATTTTCAAAAGAGAATAATATCCACAATCCAGTCCGTGAATTCGTTTTCATTTTGTACTAATTAAATCAGGTGATTTGAAAATGGTATAGGCTCGTCGAGAAACGTCCTGTTTGGATTCAGTGTAGGTAAGTGGGTAAATCGGATTTCCATTAATAATATTAATGTTTTATTTAGTAGGTTAGATAAAAATAGTGACAAATATTGTTTTGTTTAACGACTAGTTGACTAGTATACCGATATTTAAGTTATCCTACCACCATTATAGTTATCTCTTATTAACCAAAAACTTATCAAAATGTAAGTTCAGCAGTTCCAATTTTATGCCAATTGACCAATGATCACATTATTTGAATTTGAAGGTAAGAACATAATTTGTATCGTCGGAAGGTTTTTACAGTATTTTAATTTTTAGGTGACTTACAAGTTTATTAAATATTAATACCTATTTAAAAACTAAAATATGATAATTCTCTTAAAAATTAAAATATTGTAAAAAACCATGAAACATTAATAATGTTCTAAAATGTAAGTTTGAATAAGTTTGATAATAGTTGACCTATTATTAGACCTATATTATTCACCATATTAGACGCATTAATAACAATTGATAAAATAATTACCATTTTAAAAAACCCCCAATCATTTTCAAATCTTGAACAGCTAATTCTATTGAGGTAGAAGTGTTACCTATAGAACGGTTCAGGCCTTCGAGGGCGCACATTAGGGGATGCAAGGGAGTGACCATAGGCGGAAATCCATTGAAAATATTGGAGAGCTATTTTTCAAATGAACCTAAATCGAGGGTGGCTCTGCCGCATCACAATAACTATCGGGCTTTTGGAATTGGTTTGACACATACTTTTTGGGGGAAGAAGGGGGAATCCCCTCTCTTCGATTTCTACATATGTGGGTGACATGCACGGTTATATACTAGTAGTAACTAGTAGATAACCGTGGTGACATGTCACTCTCTTGACAAATGTGAAATGATGCTAATTTTTAATTGTATACAATAAACTATTTTTACTGATAATATTATACTACATGACATATTACATAGGTCATTGTTTATCAATATTGTATATATATTTTCTATTATTACCCTTTAAAAGCAATTTTGTCGGTTTTAAGTTTTTTTATGATATAATATTAAAATATAATTGATTAATATAGAGAATATTGATCGTCATTGTCCTCGAATAATGCAAACAAAATTAGTAATTCTACAAATAAAATAATAATAGTAATAATTATACAGCTATACATTTAAGTACAAATCTATAATATAAATCAAAATTTATATTTATTCAAAAATATATTAAGATCACTTATTCTTTTTAAAAATATAAAATTGATCAGTCACATTTACAATGCAAATACATTTACACAGTTATTTATATTTGATATTTCAGTCAGTCATATTACTCACTATATCTATCATATTGAAATTATTTACATAATTGCATTGGATCAATAATTATTAAAAAAATAAATACATAAAATATCACTATCATTATTACATTTAAATTCATTACAATCTTGTTTTATTTTATCCTCATAAAATGATTCATTTTTAGGATAATTATAATTTCATTTTTTTTTAGAGAATTACCTAATTTCATTTTCATTAGTAAGTGAATCATCACATAACCCTTTGTGGCTTTGTTAACACACATCTACCGGATAGTCAGCAATTTTTACATTTTTTTTTGTTTATGTTATACATAATTGTTGAGCACCTTCTAAATATTAAAAGGATAAAAATTAAGAAATAACGGTTGAACTTTATAGAATTACTTGTATAGAATTTAAATCAAAAAATCATAAATGTGGGGAAGTCGGTCTCAAGTGATAAGTAGATTTAATGACAAATTCAAATCTGGGCATAAATGCAGTTTGGTTCCCAAGCTTTTTTTTCGATTTTTCTTTTCCAAAATGTGTATTTTAAAGCACTGCACACGAAAGTCTAATTTCAAAATTGTCGCAAATCATTATTTGGAAGTTCTATGTTTCCAAAGCTTACGATTTTACACATGCATGCGCGAAACACTTTAGGTACCTACTTTCTATTATATTTTCGTATCGGATTGTCGCTTCACAATGTAACAACTACAATTATCAGCGTTTGTTGGAAGGTAGAGTTATAAATACTTTAATAGATTTAGTTTTTACCCTGTGGGCTGTTACCTACTTGAAGTGGTTTTGCATTACAAGTTGAGGGATATTTTTGATTTGCGGAGCGGAGCAGCGGCGCCGAGAAGCGTAGCGACGAGTATCACTGCCCAAGCAAAATAATATTTTTAATTAAAATTTTCACATTTAAGTTCGAAGTTTGTAAACAGCAAGTACGATAATGTAAATCTATTTGCATATTTCCATACATCATACACAACATACAAAAAATATGAAAAGTAGTTTATATGATATTTTCATCGAGGATATCGCGTATTTTTGAAAAATTGACTGTTTTATAGTTTTTTTGGTTCAACTTTTTAAGTAAAAAAATGAAAGAATTTT